TATTTAAAATTCATAAAGGTGCATTCTGAAAATCGTGAAATCAGTAGGGTTGGCTATTGTTCGAACAGTAGCAATATTCACTTGCAATTCCATACGTGTTTGTTTCCCTGGGATTCTCCCATTTCTTTTCTAGAATCGGAGTATTTGATTATAAATTAATATATATGTATACATGTTAAGGAAAACTGTTGAATTCTCATACTCCTTCCACTAGAAAAAATTACTTTGATTCCATGCAAAAATTTCGAATGCGTTATGCGAGTTCAGAGAATCACGAGAACCACCAGTGGGTAGCTCTGTAGAACCAGAATCACTGAGTTCCAGAAATTCGGAAAATATGTTTGTATTGCTTAGCGGACAGTGATAGATGGTCCTAAATTAAAAGTACTACACTTAACAGTTTGAAAATATTTTCCCAGCGAGGTTGCGTATTCTTTGTCCTCTCTAAATGCTTTCCTTTTAATGTATTGGTTATAACAATTGCTCTAGTTTCATTTGGCGAAACTGTTCCACTCGTTAGTTGATCGACTAGATATTCAGAAAACAGTGTATATTGCTTAGATTCAGAATGAGTGAAAGGAAGTAATCAAATTTCTTAAACCCAGTACTGTGAATATTTCTGAAAGCAGAACCTTTCATATGTATTATACTTACTGATGGTTTGCCGAAGTAGCATAATTGGAAGTTGCTGCTCTGAAAATTTTGAACTGTAAGAGTCAAAGTGTTTGTTTTTTGCTTTCATTCTGAAATTCATGATCTCCTTACTTATACTAATTCTCCATTTTTTTTAAATAAAATGGTTTGGAAATATTCTTCAAGAAGAGGAGGGATAAAGTGTCGCCGGATTTGTTCAGTCTGAAATCTAAAGTGATTCTCTTCATTATAATCAACTCGTAAAAGTCTCAAATATTACTTTTGAGTCTTTTCTGCACAAGTTGGGGAGAATTGATCACTGGTATTTGAAAAAGTAGTATTAGTTGATTGTGGCAATCGAATCTCATCCTGTAAGCACCTATTAAATCGTTTTTGCTATCAGGATTCAAGCCTTGAGGTTCCGAACTTTCTTCTGGATTTTTTAATACTTAGTTTAGTAATACAATATTTTAAAAAAATGCATAGTTTAAATAATAATAAAAAGATTAATCGACGTGGAATTAACTTACGCCAACGTGCAGGTCAAGATTATAGTAGAAACTTTCCTGTGCGTGTGGATCCATTGATAATTCGTGTTCCACTTTCGTTTGTTTCCTCAACAATTCGGCAATTAAACTCTTCTGCGGTGGCATCTTGTAAAAAAAGTAAAATTTCAGGAAACAGAAAAGCAATTTGAAATTTATGATAAAGGACCTGTTGAAATTTCGGAATTAAGCTTGCTAATATTTTCTTATTTTTATTATTGTTTATTCAAGGGAAAAGTTCCTGAATTCAATGAAGGTTAGAGGTTGTCATTCGTGGCACATTAAAAAAGGAATGCTTCATTCCGTCATTCTCTTCCTATATATAAACATCCTTCTATCATAAATATTAGATTAAATTCCAGCTCTTGATTACTTGACGAAATTGGGTGCTGTTGTCAGTTTATGAAAAATTAACTACTAGTTCTATCACCTCTCAAACTGATACTAATTTAACTGCGCCCTTATAGTATTAATATTTATCTCTTTTAATTTTTGCCTAATTTAATCAGTCATAATTCATTTAGGATATCTCAGCGTCAACAACTTGATCACGGATACATGACTTCATCATTTTACTTGTCATATTTTATCCCTTACCTTTAAGTAAAAATGCCATACATTTAAAATAAATTAATGCAACTAACATAAATACACTTTTTTAGCAGAAATCTTGTTGCATCACAACGTTCTCCTGACATGCCTTTAAAAAGTTTTTAAGGATTATATTCATAAAATGATTATATTCATACAGAATTTTTGTTAAGAACGATCAGATCTTTAGTCCTTTCTGTTAAGTGCTTTAACAATTTAATTAAATTATCTACTTCAAGATACATTCCTTTCATTCATTAATTCTTCTCATCTTGTATTGTCCCAAAACGTAAACGTTGCCGAATAAACGGAGAAGGCGTACTTTAAAACCGCCTACTGATCCGAACGTTTTCAAAATAATTGTGATTTTTAAATATTTTTCATTATTTACGCTCTTCTTTTTCTCGTCAACAGATGTCTCCGTGGAAAGCATTTTCAAAGAAATGCTGAACATTAAGTATTATTGATCGATTGTGATAAGGCTGGATTTCTTATGCAAAGTTCCAAGCTGACATGGAATCATTAATTTCTTTCAAAACTGTTATATTTGATATAATTAAATTTGTCGTTAAAGTGAGACAAGTGATTTGTTAAATGAAGGCTGTGATGTGTGAGCGATTTTTCTTCCTAACACTTCTCATATTCAGAAAAGCCTTTGTTGCCATCTGCACATTTTTTTTTACTTCTGAAGTTTGTGATTCCTCTTACTTTTTTTGCTGTAAAGTCATCATTTTCATTTTTTTTACTATTTTCTTCTCTCTTTTTTTTACAAACTCTGCTCAGTTCTTTGGTTTTGTCAAAAAATATTTTTAAAAAGGGAATTCAGAAATTCACTGATTTTCAATATTCTCTCTTTCTTCTCCCACTTCCGATTTCCTGTTATTGTAAATCAGAATCCAATTTTTATTTAACCGAGTTCTTTGATCTATTCTCTCATAATTCTTTTTTTGTTACGGAGAGAATCAAATATTTGTTGTAATAGAATCAAATACATTGTAAACAATTTCTTGTTCTGTGAAAGTAACTCATAATTTTTCATATTCTGTAGCTTTAGCAAAATTTCATGATTTTCCTAATATAATTGATAGTGGATGGTTTGGTTATCAAATGACAAAGAAGTTCCTTATCCACTGATTTTTAACAGTTGTTTTCACTCCAACTATTTTTACTATTAATGCTAATACAGTAAAATCGATTTATTAAAATTAAGATAATACAGTGCTCTGTGGTTAACTGCACTGATTAAATTTATACTCGGTAATGGAATATTACAGCGAAGAAGGAGTGTACAACTGTTAATTTTGCAATTTCCCCGATGTGAAAGGTAATTAAACCATCTACCGATCAGGTGTCGTTGTATTCTACATCAATGTAAACAACCAGCATTTTATGAGAACTATTTGACGGTAAGCTAATGATTGCATCACTATTGGAACTGCTCGAAGTTTCATTTTGTTTCGAATTTGTAGTATTTTTTTTGTATTGAATACGATTTTTCATTTTAAGATTCGATAGACTGAAATGTATTTATGATGTATCTTGTGGTCTACATTACTCACATCCGTGACGGTTATATTTATTGGTACTAACAGTCTATAGTATACTGAAATGTAGACATTTTAGAAAAGTAATTATTTAATGAGCATGGAGCCATGCGTAAATTTAAGTTCTTATCCAGCATTAAATGCTACCATTCATACTATCATGAAGGACGATTTCTTTAATGATGCTTAGCATTCTTTTGTACTTAGAAATTTTATTTTATCTGCAACACATTAGTTATGAATAATTCAGAAATCCTAAAAATTTTTAGAAATTCGAGACTTAGTGAAAATTTTAATAGAAGTTTGTCTTGAAACTTACAAAAATATTTGAACAAGAATATTTTCTGCAATTATCGTTGGCTTACAGTAGTAACAAATATTACATAAAATAAATGACAAGTGATTCAACTAATCAAACACTGATATAGAGCCATGCTTACATTTGAATGTTTATCCAACTTTAAATAATTTTGGAATGAGGGATCGACAATTGTTAGCAACTGCCTCGTCATTCGTTTGTGGCCACTTTTTTTGTTGCTGCAGTTTTTCGTGACATCTTATGTCTTCTGTTTTTCACATTGAGACATTTTTGTAGAAGAGAATGAAATATAAACACAATATTTGCACGGGTTTTTCAGCCAGTACTTCTTGACTAATTGAAGTTATTACATTCGAGATTCCATGGTCTTTTCCTTCCCTCGAAAAAGGAATGTACTTCTAAATTCATGCTTATTCAGCAATGCTTTTGTAACTTTGAGTAGCACAAATAATAAGTTAAAAGAAACATTTCCATTAATTTTTAATTTTCCCGATCTCATCATCATGCATGATTGATAAACAAAACGCATCACCAAATTTTGATTCTTCCCCACCCTTTGGTTACATAATCGTGTGGGAATAAAGCTACCCGAAAATACAAACTGTCATATTTACATACTTCAGCAATTAGTCCAGTTCATCAGTGTTCAATGAGTCATTTTATCGCTTTTTTCCTCATAATTAAATTTCATCACATAGGAAAGAGATTCAAGTTCAATAATTGACTCACTGAGCATATGATACTTGATTACATAACAGTTCATTTCTATTCCTTCAGCTTCTGACATAAAAATATTCGCCCTTTTAAGCACTTTCATTAAGTCTAAATATTTTCTAAAGACTCAATCAAAATCACTCAGTGAACTAGACATTTATTTTACTAAGAACCATTTCAAACAGAACACTATCCTCAACGATTATATATTTATGATGAGAAAGGAAAAGTGCTCAGAAATACTCTTGAGATGATTCAGTAGCAAAAAGAGAGGAACAGGGAGCTGGACACTAGACACGACATAGTATCGCTGGCAGTTCTTTGTCAGAATATCACCACCACACAACCACTGGAAACCAATAAAACCTAATTTTTCATAGCGAGATTGAATCCCTTATCGTATTTTGTAGCTGTATATTAGTTTGATAGTGCTGGTTGATGAGAGGAAAAAGACCGAGACTCATGGGACGTTGTGCTTGGAGAAAGGACATATTATATGGTCATCATTTTTGGGATGTTAACAGTTCTTCAGCAACAACTCCATATTCAGCATTTTTGAGATTGTTGAATATTTATAGGAGGTATCCCTTTCGATTCTGGATTGCATGTTTTATCCGGAAACGGCAACAATCTGGTAGCAATTTTATATCGTTAATGTCTGCTCCTTCACGCCAAATCAAATGTGTTGTGGTTGGTGATGGTACCGTTGGTAAAACATGTATGTTGATATCGTACACGACGGATTCTTTTCCAGTCGAATATGTTCCTACTGTGTTAGCTTCTTCATTATATATAAATTCTTGTTCTGCCAATACACATCACAAGATTTTGTTTTGTCAGCGTTCACACCTTATGGCTTGTTCAGAGTAATCATAGTTTTTTTTTTTCTTTTCTTTTTAAGAATAATGCTTATTATGTTGAGACCTGGATGTTGATAAACGATTTTATAAATATTTTATACTCCTGAGCCTTATTTAGCATTATCGGATAGTATAAAAACAAGACGGAAACAATATAGGTCAGTAAAGCATTATGATTATGAACACACTGAAAAAATTTAGAAACTTGTTGCTGTTATTTTATATCATTTTTTTTAAGAAACTTTTTCAGATTCGATAATTTTTCGGCACAGATGACAGTAGACGGGTATCCTGTTAATTTAGGTTTATGGGATACCGCTGGACAAGTAATTCACTTCTGTTTCTTATATTTCTCTTTGAAACGATGTTTCTAATTTTTAATGTTTTATAAACAAACTCTGAAAATAGCACATAATATTTTCAGGAAGATTACGACCGTCTGCGGCCGCTGAGTTACCCACAGACTGATGTCTTTGTGTTATGCTTCAGCATAGTCGCCCCGGTTTCTTTTGATAATGTGCTAACCAAATGGATACCAGAAATACGACATAACTGCCCGGATGCACCAATTCTTTTGATAGGTTAACATTATATATTAGTTGCATTGTGACCCACAGACTGATGTCTGAAAAAGAAAGAAGTTCGAGACATAAGTTAAAAATGATGCTAAACTTAGTACCTTGATTCATACATTCCAGTTTGTTTTCCACAAAAGAGACAAATTAATTTCCAGGAACCAAGCTGGATTTACGGGACGACCCAGAGACTCTGAGGCAGCTGAATGCAGATGGCAAACAGCCAGTCAGCAAAAACCAGGGACAAAAAGTTGCAAAGCGAATCAGAGCCGTCAAATATCTTGAATGTAGTGCTTTGACACAGCAAGGTTTGAAAGCAGTGAGTTATTTTTCTGTTCGCTGCTTTAGCATTCTTTGAACATGCTGCAGGCTTAGGAGTAGAAATCAGTTCGGCTACTTCCTTTTGTTACGCTTTCAAAATTTTTAATTATGGTGTGCATGAAATTCCTTTTTACGTCTTTGATTTCATGGAAGTCAGATATTCCAGGTATTTGAAGAAGCAGTTCGAGCAGTAATAGCACCCAAACCAACTAGCAAAAACAAGAATTGTACTGTTCTTTAGTATTCGTTTTTACATTTCATACAAAACTCAAAAGTGCAGTGAGTAAGTAGTTTGAAAAGGTAGTGCAGTTTTCACGATCTGCAATTTAAATTAGGTTAACATTCGATGGCGGGTTTTGTTAAGCATCCCGTAGGCTTTTTTCCTGATATGCCTTACTATTTGTATTTTTTTTAGTTACTATGGTTGTTCTTTCCTTGACTAAGCTCAAACTTTGCTTAGATAGAGAGAAGCATGCCATTTTATTCACATTAGGGTTGCATTTTCGATGCTTTACAAGTTTCTCAAAGCATCCTAAATATTCCTTAGCACTTTGTGGAAGTAAGTACATTCTAACCACACCTTAATATTTGTTTTAAACGCATGGTTCATCTCAAATAAAGTTTTACTTACCAATTTCATTTCGATTGTCACTGCGTATTTATCTTCAAGTTACTTGAAAACGTGTTTCCGTCTTTTCACAAGGTCACTTAGTGCGATGTGTTTTATGGCATCGATCACCTTTCGCACACAGCTTTGATTTCTTTATTTTATTACTTCACTTCGTTTTCGTGCGCCTTCGAAATCCTTTTTATTCTGCTGGCGAATCGAATCGCATATTTGAGTGGTTAACTACTAGCAATGGTAGTGTTATCTAGAAATATCTGATTTTTGTACTATCAACATTGTTGCAACGATATTATTCACTATCAAACGCTGCCTTAGGTCCTTAGCTATAAATTAAACATTTTATATGATTATGTTTAATGTCCAGAGGTCTTGGTTTGTCTTTTTCCAATATTTATTGTGATATTTCATATGCCTAAAGCATTTCAAGCTTAATGTGCGTGAACTCCTCATCTAGAATACTGTTGTCCCTTCATACACCCCGCAGACTTCTCGAAATTAATTTGCCACTTGAACTGAATTTGTTCATTTCCACACTTCGATCCAATTTTTCATGCTGTACACTGTTATCTTGTTATGCAGAACTCTACCACATTTTTGTAAGTAGTCTTATTACATTTAAATGCAGTTTGATGCAATTCGAATTTACAACCGTATATGGTAGTAATCCGTGTTTTCACGACCGACAGTAAATGCCACTTTTTTAGTCACGTATTGATCTCTGCAACTTTTGCAGAACACTGGCCAGCTGTCCAGAATCAGCTGATCCTACACATTTTCCCTGATCTTCAAGCAAAATGCAGAAAAACATCGCACCTAAGCGACATATAAAATTCTGCCATTCCCGTTTCAGCCAACTATGCATTGAGTTAGCGATCCCCATTCTTAAACTCTCTGTTAGTGGAGATATTCTTGTTGTGTGATGGAACGATTCATAAAATCAAATTTATCTGAGGGAAGAACTGCAGCGACACTGATTTATTTTATCAAACAAAAATGCACCCACAAGTAACGGATTACTGCTTAGAATAAGAAAGACAAATTAAATTCATATGACAGAATCCGCAACAAATAACTTCCACTACGGGAATGTCCTGATGAAAAGTGACTAAACACTTAGTATTGCGATTCCAAAAACCAAATGCTTATTATTTGACTAATACGGTCATACTGGGTTGAAGAGTAAACAATTTCAAATTAAGAGCACCACCTCCAGTTTCTTCATATTCAGGAGAAGGATAAGAAACGGAAGAACCGGAAGATTTTACTATTACAGTCGAATAGAAACAAATCCTTCAAGAACCCTTATTTTGTGAAATATTTCTCCTCAGAAAGAATAGATACAGCCAAAAAGCTCATACTACAAAAATTGTCCTCCGATTGGTCAGAGGAAGTAATCAGGAGTTTGTCGAACGACATTTGTTTCCGTTTTTCTCGGAGCCGGATCAAATTGCAAGAATGAATATCGCAATTCATCATCCAGTTCAACCATGGCTGCCTGATTTGCACAACGATAACAATAATTTGGCGCCGAAAAAACTGTTACTACATTACGATCATGACTCCAGTTATAACCCTGAAAATTTGTAGTAAATGAATTTTCATCTCAAAATGTTTTTCGACTGAGTAAATCGACTACTAAACAAAATACAGTAAATGAATTAGTACCCCGATTAAATATTCGAGATAGGAGCAACACAGAGACGTTAGCACCATAATCAAAACATTTCACAAAGCTTAAATTATCTCAGGAAATCGCATTTCTGTATATCCCATCTCAAGTTTTCATAAAGCCACCCCTTTGAATGTTTTATCTCAAATTTTCAGCCTTGAGCAATAATGTGTTTGAAGTTCTTTTTCAGTTACATACAAGACATTATAAAGTTCCTGTAGTACTAGCTAGAAAAGGTTACTATAAGAGAATTCCTGTAGTACTAGCTAGAAAAGGTTACTATAAGAGAACATTTAATTTATTAAAGAGTACCTCCATGACAAGTTGATGAGCTCTGGAAATCAGTGTGAGACCATTGCCATGATTGAAAGTTTCTGAAATGTCTTGCCCAAATGTATAACCAGCTCCTCGTGGCGAAATACCCCAGCCTCCACGATCATCAGGATCTGACCACAACAAATCACACATAGGCCCTGCAAAAAATTGCTCATAAAAATTTCGCTGATAAAGATATTCCACAAAGGACAAAAATAAAAATGTCACTTAAAAATAAATGTTTAGGTCGCCAAAACTGCTCGGAAATTGAATAAATTTGAAAAAAATAATCACCTTCATGTGGCACTTCCTGAAGCCTATCAAGTGAACGAATATGATCGAGACTATCGATAGACGGCGAAAGACCACCGTGCAAGCAAAATATCTGACCATCAACCAATGCTGTGAGAGGAAGATAGTCAAACAGATCCGTAAAATATTTCCAAACGTTAGAATTGCCATACTTACGTAAGCATTCATCATAGAAACCATAGACCTAGAAGCAGCTTTTCTAAACTGAAATTGAACTGAAGCATTCCTATATTGCTAATGTCTGTGTCACAGAGATTTACAGGAATCATTCAAATTAGAAGATTACCCTACGTATTTAGGGACGAACATTACAAAATTCCCCAAAATTGAAATACCTGAGTGATCTGCCGTGACTCATGATTGCCTCGCAGAATGGTAACACGTTCTTTATAGCGAACCTGAAACACATTGAAATCACAGAGAATTCAATAAAATAAAATTCAATTCAGATCACAGAAAATTTAATGAAATTATAACCGTTATTAAAAGGAAAAATACATACTTTCAGACATACTAGCAGTGTAACTGTTTCGACAGAATGGTACCCTCTGTCAACATAATCTCCCATAAAAAGATAATTAGTATCTGGAGCTTTTCCACCCATTTTGAAGAGTTCCAACAAATCGTGAAACTGTCCATGAACATCCCCACAAACAGTCACCGGACACTTTACTTCCTGGACATTTGATTCTGTTTGCAATATTTCTTTCGCCTAAATTGAAGTACTGGTTGTATTCAAATATTAAATATTCAAGAATTAATGCAGTGAACTAAAACTGTGGTGAGTTTATCATAAAGTAAGTTTAGTCTTTTAACTGAGACGCAGTCTCATTAAGTACAGTTTTCTTTTTCTGAATCTGATAATGACCCGAATCCGGATAGGCTTTATAATTCCTGCTGTCAAAACAACTCAACCAATCGGGTTATTGGTTATTGCATTCAACTAATCTGTGTTGAGTGGGACAAAATATATTGATGAATACTCAAAATTTCTACAATTTCTAATGGTTGACCGTTTCCGAATGTATTGAAGAGTGTAATTCGGAATTTGGAGAGATGTGGTGCATTTAATATTTGCGAAGATGTTCGATAATAAGATTATTCCTTTTAACCACATGTAATTTTATACTGAATGCAGTTATTAAAACCGAACTGTCATCACTAAACAATTAAAAGAAGCTCTTATAAAATAATAGAGAGACCAAAATCATGAGATTGAAAAGATGGGAGCAAAAGCACTAACCTAACCAAACAACTTTTAAATTGATAAATGGTCAAATGAAATCATTTTTGAAGCAGAAATAATTTAAAATGATAAATAATTTTGATGAATATCGAACTGATTTGTAACTTTATTATCATTCCGGTTTTTATAAAATTTATCGTTTAAACAACCAAAGTGATGTCAATGGCAAGAGTTAGATCATATTCATCATCGTTCAACCGAGCTTAGATCAGTTTTAATAGATACATTATAAAATAAAACTGGTTTCTTGAGTAAAAGTGAATTCAAAATTATTAAACAATTTTAATGAATCATATCGAAATTTTTTGCGACCTTGCTGTCACTTCGATTATTATAAAACTTATCGTTTAATTTCTGAATATGACGTTAACTACCAGATTTCAGCTCCTTTTACTTGGCATATTGTTCTAGTACTGAACTGACAAGTAATGATAAAGCAAAGATAATGAATTATCACTTTCACAAGTATTGAAATATTCAGTAAAATCTTCCAGATAAAAATTAAAATAACCCAAATCATGTTACGATTTAGTCGAATATAACGTATGGACTAAACTTTCTCGGAGCTGAATCACACAGAATTACTATCCATTAAATAGGTGGCAGTATCCGTCCATCCGAGCTTCACAATCAACTGAGATACAGAGCCGTTTTAGCACTTGCGACATTGATATGATCTTGCCATTAAAAAACCCAAAGGGTTGGAGTATTCTAAGTGCATAAAATCACAGGAAGAATCATATCCCCACAAATGAATATGGTGAGAAAATGTTGCGTAATACGAAAAAGAGAAGAGGTAATCTGCTGGGGGAATCAAAGACTTATTATATTCGGTATATCATCACATGGGGCTGGAAATGGTCTTATTAACAAATTTCAGCCTATAGGCCAGTGCTTTATGCATTCTCGGTAATCACTGACAGAAATAAGAAATTATTAATCTAGTTGAATCCCTGGATGGTTATTATAACTAAGGACTAAAAAGAGGTGAGCGTCTCATTCAAGAAGAGAATAGTTTATATTTTGGCAGTAAATCTCCCATTCCGCTGATATGTTCAAAATCGAAGAAAACGAACAAAAATAACCTTATCACATAAAATTTTCACTTGGTTCTCGGAAAGCTGCTCGCAGTTGTAGAGCTGTTCGATCCATTGGTCCAGTTCCTTCAATTGAGACCGTTGTGCTGCATCACCAGCGGACACAGAGGGAGTTACTGTTGCATTCTTAGGAGGTGAGTCCATATTTTTCTTAACCACCTAAAATAATCCGAGATTGATAAATAAGAGACAAAAGTGTGTCCATCGCCCATTAACCTTCGCCAGCTCTTTGCAATTTCTGTTTAGGATAACTAGCTCAGCTGAATGTTCTTTTTAAAATGATTAACAAGCGCATTATTTCATTCTCGTAACAGAAAATGGTCAATTACAGTAAAAATCATCTGCTAATGGCGACTCATTTGCTATCGAGTGCTGAAGAATCATTCAGTATATCCTGTTGTGGGTTAGGATAGTAAGACGTTTGGAGAGACAAAGAAGGTATATAATCCAAAATTAAACCGAAGAGACTGAACATCGGTTTACCATGTTCGAAACATCAGTGTTAGCAGCGAAAAGCAAGCAGTACACGAAGACGTTTAACTTGGTATGACTCACACGTCTCACTTTCTTTCAAAGCAAAATAAAAGTGACTACTATATGTGGACAAATGTCAATAATACGACCGGTCTACTAGCATGTTATTTGTCATTTTCTAAAACGTCACTTTTTTTTTTCTCACGAAAAACGGCGCTGAAAGGATAGATGATAATACAAAGAATACATTATCAATAATGTATATCCCGTCCTGTCTTTCACTCTCCCCACCAAAATTTACTCCAGATTTATGATAAATGTATGGATAACTTCAATGTTATTATTCGAGCAGTAAAGTCACCAACATCACTCTCTAAACAAGCAAACATCAGACACTCGAAAAGGAACATCAACCTAAATTATCAACTAAATAGACAAGCCTTAATGGCCATGAACAACCCATAACCCATCACAGCATCACCACCACACCACCTCCCGCCAATTTAGACACCAACGCCAATCGATCCTTTACCTGCCTAATTATAGCGCTTCAATACATGCATATTCGCTGTAGGACGCGGCCGCGATTTTGGCTCATGTCATTTTCCCATGTGGATTCTAAAATGTGTGATGGGTTGGATGTGGGAGTCTCTTTGACATATACGTGCTGACTGGTTAGACGTAAGTTGGATGTGTTGGGGTATAATACTTGGATATCTTACATTAAGGGCAAAGATTCTCTCACGAATAAGACATCTGAAGTGACCAGCCCGGCAAGGTTTATGCTATGATGAATTCATGCTTTGGTCAAACTTCCGCTACTGAATGTAAATAATAAAAGTGCTGAGTTTTACATTATTCCAGTCCGGTTTTCAAGAATTTTGACGTTTGTTGGGTGAGAAAGTTTCTGTCAAACACATAAGGTTATAATAGCAGTTGTGTCATATACTAATAGCCAGTCGATTTGTAAATCATTATCATTTCCTATGACTGCTTAGATGTGAGGTTTTTTGTTGATATGCAAAAGAAACAGTCAAATAAGAAAGTTTACAAAATTAAATTTTGTGCGCAACAAACTTGTTTTTTTAAAACAGTTGTACACATAAAGAGAGACCGATTGAGTGACTGATTTTCTGATTGCGTTAAACAAAAATGATCGTAGGAACAAGAAGCAAGGATTTTATATTATTGCAAAAACTGATTAGCAATTGATTTCAAAAAGCACAAGCATTAGTCAAATTATTTAAAAAAAAAAAAGAACTGAAGCTAAAGTGAGGTACTTCATCTTCACTACCGAATCCGTTATTTGATTGTCGTAGTCATATAAAAATGAATTAAGATTGAAATAAAAAAAAAAAAAAAAGTGCTATTATCCTATTTTGTCATTTACTGTCATCTGTTTAAATCAAAAGTACTTTAAATTCTGGCGGTATTTTGTGGTAAATTTTAGCAAATAAGATTCAGATTCATTGTAAGGCTTCGAGCAACAAAACTGTATGAAGTGGAGAACTGGAAAACTGCTATTAAATAGTAAATCTTTTCCATGTGTGAATATTGTCATTCCTGATTTATGAAGTGCATGCTATATGCAAGGAGTAGTATTTAAGAAATAATTTCATGACACAAAAGGTAGAAACATAGGACTGAAAAGTCAATATGAACTGTTTTATAAATTAAATATCTTAAACTGACGCTATGAATTTTCTGTTCTACCAATTTCTCTTTATGCTATTTTAATATAAATTCAGCACAGAAGATTGAGGGAAAAATGGGGACATATCTATTCCATCTGAATCTATTAGAAGATATGGAACAGAAGAGTTACCTTATTAATCTACGAATCAACTCTGTAGTATCATTTTTCGGCGCATCAATTGAATGGTTGCTTTAACAATATATTGTGTAGCAGGCATGATGCAGAAATTCCGTATCAAACAAATGACATATGCATTATCTGAATATTTCTATCAATTTATTACACAGAAAAGTGCTTCAGATGTGTATGAACGCAGAATTTGCAGTTTAATTGAAACATTTCATATTTATAAAATTTTATGATACAAAAACGAATTTTCGCTTGTGAAATGCAAAATATCCTCTATCTGAAATGTTTCTTTATCGTATTATCATATGTTAGTGAGTTAGCTTGATTCAAGATTTTTCAAGATTCTGCTTAATTAATGTAAACATGTTGTATGCATTGTATGCTGAAATTTATGATTTATTTGTGATACTAAATTCAACAAGTGGAATCCTTGTTTTATTGTGCTCATTTCCAAATATCTTATTTAGAGACAGAAATATAATTTCCACTTTGTGTGTAGAAACCCTGGAAATGAAGCAATTTAAGATTATATGAAGGGAAAGATATTCCGGATACTGGAAGTTCTTTTGTGAACTTAACAACTTATTATATTGTTTTATTACTTCCATTCTTTTTGCTTCATTTCAACTAATCAAGTACCTTGCTCCATGACTCGTGTAGTGCAGTGCTTGCTGACAAGGTCATATTTTGATGTGTTTGGACTTACAATCGCTGTTTCTGTTTCAAAGAGTGTTCAAGTAGAAGCATTATAATTATATATTTAAATTGTTTTAGTGAAAGCGATGTGTCTATTTAAGGTAATCCCTAAATAGAGATATGCTCACAAATAAGAGCAGTCTCAGTGATAGTTTGAAAATAGGTCAGCGGGAACATAAAGAAAAGGGCTTCTATTTATTTCTCCTTTAATCAGATATCAATTATTCAGACATTATACTTTGTTTATATCTTTAGTTAATTCATTTTATTATTATTAGTTTGACTATTTTGAAACCTTACCTTCTTATTTGTTTATTTTTATCCTAATTTATTGAGATTTCTCAAAACCAATCAGATCATCTCAATTTTGATGAACAGCTCAAGCAGAGTTGTTCTCAACACCTGTATCCTTAGCTTACCATATTGCTTGACCATACGAAAGTTAATTTCACAGTGCTTTCCCACATTCTACTTTACTTTTTTATTTATTGAAATATTAGCTCACAACCTTTCCAGAACGCGATGTAGTTAGAGTGCGTTTCTTAAAAGATTTCATGTTTTCAATATCCTTCAATATCTCCGGAGTAGTTATTTTATAAGATCTTAAAATCTGAAAATATAAGTAAAAAGAAGTAAAATGAAAAAAAATAACAGTGCAGCAATGTCGTATCAGCCAAGTTCAATTTTGGTAACAGGTGGCTGTGGGTTTATTGGTTCCAATTTTATCAGTTCTATGTTCCAAAAATGGTGCACAGCAAGGTAATTTTTTAACTTATGGGCAACTTATTTTTTAAACTCATTTTTTAATTAAATCTAGAATTAAAAAGAGGAATATCTTTGTTTCATTTTCAAAAAAAAGAAAAAAAAATCAAAACAAGGAGTCTATCGCAGAATATAACTTTGAATTGGTACGTGTTTAAATATTAAGCTGAATTGTCACTTTCGGTCCATATTACTGTGGCAAACTTATAGCATATTAGATGGAATTACAGAAAAGCATCACGTAAATAGAAAAAACATTTTAGATTTGTTAACATCGATAAGTTAACACATGAAATTCGGGAAACAAATGTTGCTGCTAAAGTTCGACAGTCAAGCCGTTATAAATTTTTTAAAGGAACAGTTAGGGATATTGATTTGGTCCTCAATTTGCTTCGAGGTTATCAGGTGATTGTGTTCAAAAGAATCCTATTTGTAATATGCTTAAGCATGCAAAATGGCCATTATCTGTTTATTTACCACTTCGTTTTCCTTAACATCGTATAATTTAAATAGTTTTTTTTTTTGGCATTATTTTTGTTTTTATATTAAAAATATCAGAACATTACAATTCTATCATTAGCTAACTTATAGAAAGTCAATATTTGTGTCTTTCAGATCGATACAGTCATACATTTTGCTGCAATGACACACGTTGATAAATCATACATCGACCGGATTGGCACCATTGAAGAAAACATAATGTCAACAACAATATTGTTGGAAGCAATTGCACTTCGATACAATGGCATCAAAAGATTTATACATATCAGCACTGGTTTATTTCCAAGTTTAAAAAATTTCTAGCACTTCAAATTATGCGAAAAATTCTCGACATATTAATGTTCGTATTGCTATTGTTATGGGTAACTGATGTCTATATGAAGACAATGGGACTTTTAGTATTAGTATTCAGTATTGATGAAAGGTTTTGCTATAATATTACATCTCATATATTACATTGCCCGTTTCGTCTCATATCTACTTTTTTTCTAATACAGTTCTGACATTACTCCATTAGGTAGCTCTATTGAATTTTTATTTAGATGAAGTTTATGGTGAGTCAGAAGAAGGAAGCATACCAAAAATGGAATACTCTATGGTTAATCCGACGAATCCTTATGCGGCCAGTAAAGCTTGTTGTGAGATGATTCTTAATGCTTACTGGGTAAAGCTCGATCCATTTATAAATGCTGTAGAAAGAAATTTGCATATGTAGGACATATAACCTTTGAGCATCAGGTAATCATCACAATATTTGCTTTAAGATACATTCATGAGAAAGGAAAAAAACTGTTTCCGGCTGAACCCTTCACTGTCCTCCAAAGATTGGTTAGAAAAATATTTGTAGCACTCTTACAAAATACCGTTTGTAATGGTTCGAATTAACAACGTTTATGGGCCAAATCAAACTCTATCGAAACTGATTCCAAAATTTATATTGTTGGCAGTGGAAGGGAAATCCTATCCATTAATGGGCGATGGAATGCACAAAAGGTTGGAATTATTTCAAATCATTCGGAAAGACTTTCTACCAAAATATTATATGGTTTGGAAAATATTCGTAGCACATGATTTTCTAAATCTCATTCCTTGCACTTATTCCCACACGAAAATTGTAGGAATTGGATTTATGTAGATGATTGTACGAATGCAATTGGACGTGTATGTGAAAGAGGCAGAATTGGTGAAATTTATAATATTGGGACTGAATTCGAAATTACGAATTATGATGTTACCATGTTGATTCATCAAATTGTCAACGAGTTGCTGAAGCGGTTAAATTTCATACTATTAAATAGATAGATATGTAATACATTCCTCGTGCGTTTTGGTGATTGAATTTTACTGCGAATATTTTCAAATGTTTAGTTGAGAGTTAGGGGAAATGAGTTACAAATAGATTATTTATTATTTTTCATGAGTTTAATAATCTCTCTAAAGCGGAAACACAAAACAGCAATATAAAATGAGCAGGGATGAAAAGTTCAAATTTGAATAATTTTGCAGAAATAATACTTCGCCACAATTCGAACCTGTAATGGATAGACCATATCATGATCGACGTTACTGCATCGATTTTACTAAAATTACTCGAGAATTGAACTGGAAAAGTATCACTCCTTTTAAGGATGGTCTAAGGAAAACTATAAAGCATTATCTGGCCGAATATTTCAGGAAAGAATGCTAATAGCCTTATTAAATTGCTTGTTTTCAACAGCAACATTTTCCAAATTTAGTACTGGCAGGAAATGAAATTGTAAAATCAAAAGTGCTAATTGAGAAAGATGAAGTGATTGTTTTCTTATCACTTTTATTGAATGAAAAAACTTTTTTGCTCATTAAAAAAAAAGTTTTAAGCAAAACGAAACAAAATTGAAAAGGCGCTAAGAAAATAAGAAAAAGAGAAATCTAGACTGAAGCACTCAATCATCCCCGACTTTTTCATTTCAAACACAAAAGTCACTAGAGCTTTTTGTTTTGTTTTTTTTTGTTATTTGCTTTTTTTTCTTGCAGCAGTCATACCAGAAGCTGAACTGTCGAACTATGCAAAAATATCAATCCAGAGAATTCTCTCATTTTTATTTTTTTTAGCGCCCTTTCCACAAATAATAATACTCAAATTAACTCTCGGAATATTTCATTGGCCATCCATAAAGCAAATCAACATCGACAGTAACTGTAAAAGTTATAACAGTCTCACGAACAATCCAACAAAAATCTTTCAACAAAAAATAAAAAAAACGAATCAAGTCGATGTATAAAAGATGAGTCAGTGGGACGAATTCAATCAATAGAGAAAAGCATTGTTCTAACTGTTTTTATGTTTGTTCTTTGCTATTAATTTCTATCAAATGAAAATTCTAGTCATTTCAGTCATTTAGACATAATCTGTTCACTTTCTTTCCTTTAAACTTCTCAATGGATTCCATATATTTGCAAATTTAGACATCAGTTCTCATGCCTATGATTGTGACTTAAGAAGCTGTTGGCGCTAGTGTTATTCATTTGGAAAATACTTTGGCAGAAATGCAATAATTACAGAAAGTTGAAGTTAGATGGACAAATTAAATTAAATAAATAACATTAAGTTAAATTGGATTAGTCTTACGTGGATTTAATTAATTGCATTTTAAATAAATCAAATTAAGCGCAATTTAATTGATGGCGTTCTTAGCTTTCAAGTATGAAGAGAACATATTTCAAAGTTCTACGAAAAAGGCCTTGGATTTAACAAAGTGAAATGGAAAAGACAAGAATGGATTATTATTCTTCTGAGAAATACCCATGGGAAATTAGTTCTTGAAATGCGGCTTCATACATGCCAAATTATTCATTCATATTCAAATTCTTCTAACACAAGTATTCGATCGATTTTCTGTCATCTTTTTTTTTTTGTTTTTTTTTTTTTAACCAAGGAAATTTGTGAGACACAATGATAGCTTAAATTCCCTAAATAATCCCTGACTTCTGTAAATTTAAAACTGTATCTAATACTTCTCTCCCCACATGCTTATTTTTAATTTTTCACATTTTCAGTTGATACCACTCTTCATTCTAAACTTCATGCGATTTCAATATTTGATACTATCATTTTCATTACTTATAGCAGTGAAATGTTGTTTACCAAAGTGGCAGACGACCGAGAAAACAAGTAAGCATACTTGTAGACAGTTTCAAAGGTTTGAGAAACCACCTCAGACTTTGACTGAGGAAAGAAAATTATTGAACCCTTCTTTGAGCATCTCTATTTCATGAAATTCGTTGACAATCCATTGATCGTTTTTAGCCTACATTGTTTCGATCAATATTTTATTTTTAATTTCGGTTAAAAGTAAGTAAGGATAATCTGTTTAAAATATTTATATTCAAGCAGTGGTATGCAAAATTGCTTTGGATTGTCCCCAAAAGAAACCACATGTGTGTCAGAATGGAATTTGCGTAGATTATAGTGTCATAGTTCATCGAAAAACTGCTAAAATTGGAGGTAATTTTATACCTGTAAAAGATTTACCTTTTCGGCTGACTAATTTTACGTGAGAAGTTTCTTAATAACAATTCGTTTCAGGGAAAACGACCGGAGTTTGTTCAACATTTCTGGATTGCTCACCAGGATTGACATGTAGCAATGGGCAGTGTATCAAAGAATAATTCATATTTACATATGCTTTCTATGCAAAGAACAATTTTGAACTACTAATTTTGTTTCAAAATTCCGGAAAAATCACAATGCCTTGCTTTTAAGAAAAGAAAGAAGAATCTTTGGCAAGACAAAACGAAAATTCTAAAACATATTTTTCATAAAATAGCGAGGCGAGGGTTTCTAAATGCTAAAAGATGGAAATTTTCGATGCACGAAGGTTAGGTTGAAAAACATAAATTTTTCTTTTTCAAAAAATATACAGCAATTCATACATCGAATTCGGATAGATTTGAACTTTCACTCGTAAAAAAATCATTTGATTCAAGAGCAAGAAACATTTTGAATTATTTCTGAAATTTGTTCTCCAAAAGAATGTCAGATTATTCAATGGTATTAAAGTGTTATTCAATAGCTTAATGGATTTTGTATTTTAATCAAAAAAAGAACTAAATGACTGTGTTTGTTGGCATAGTACGTTAAATCAATCTAATAAACAATAGAGAAATGCTGCATATTCTGAAACTAGCAATCTACTCTTTTTATGTTTCAGTTATTGAATATTAAAAATATTGAAATTGGAACCTGAATTTATAACTGATATTCACTTGGTAGTTTTACTTTTTTAGGTTTTCTTTTGAATGAAACTAATTAGCAGAAACTTTCAAATTGGTATTTAAACTTTTTCTGACCGCATAAAAAATATTTCACACTTTTCTGTCTTGGTTACTTGCGCAGCAAGGTAAGTTCTTGCTTCTGACTTCAACTTACACATATGTTTATGTGTGTATTTAAGTATCTTTACAATCTTTATATCTGTTTACAGTTATTAATGTCGATTGTGACGAAAAATCTAGAAATAGTTGTAATCCAACGAAGAAGAAAAATTCGAAAGAATCGTAATATTATCTATCAAAGAATTGTTCCATTTTTCATATTTTAAACTCTAGAATTAAAAAGCAAATTAGAAGGCAAAATCTCTCTTCCATAACCATTTCTTTTATCCTTACGCAATTTTTTCATTTCCAAATTCTTTAAAAAAGAAGGAGGCTTTATCGGCCTAGTCCACAAACACGGACTTTTCCGGATTAATATCTTTACATTCCTGAAGAATTTAATTTAAAAAGAGTCAGCATATCGCAATTGAAAAGCACAAAAGAGGAGCGGCAAATCTGATAGACTTGGAAAGGGAGAATAATGTTGTTATTAATTGTTTATGACCTAATCTCATTTCACTTTCATTCATTTTGCGGATGAATTAACCGTAAAAAGAAATCATCCATGTATTTCATCAATTAGTTTCGAAGTTGTACTCAATTAAAATGCTTATCCGAAGTTTATAATAACGTCTTGAACAATGTTCGGTTATATGATAGCAAGCAACACTCATTTTGATTGAATTTAGTTACGTCAGTGTTTATTTTTAATTAGATATGTAAATCATATTAAAGTAATCTTTCGTTCGAACTGTTCTTTCTCTTCTCCCTTTCTCTTCGTTGAAATCCATTCCAAAGTACTTATCATCCTTCACTGCCAAACATTGACCATCGATATCATTCAATTAAAACGTGAGATCTTCCACAAATCCTCATTGAACCTTAAGATGGATGCAAGACTACGAAAGAATTAGTGTCACATGGCACTCATCAACTGCTATTACTCTTAAGCCGCCTGCTTCTCCTTTTCTATAAACAGTTACCCTTCTTCTTTTCTTGAGGTAATTAAATTTCAGTCGATCTTATCTCACAAACACTGTTTCAAATTAAATTATCTCTTAGCTGCCTTTATCGTATTATATATTTGCAGTAGATAAAACTTTCAGTGCCAATTTTAAGTTTTGTTCATTTTTGTTTTTTCTTACGGTTTTTACACACAGCATTTCTCCATCATTGAAATCTAACGCATCGAAGCGATAAGGCTCGAAAGAATTGGTTGATCGAAGTCTACATAATAAGCATGAAGTTCATTCTGTCCGACAATTTACCAAAAGTGTTCGACGTTGTGCCTCCGTGAAATTTAAATTTAGATTTTAAGTAATGTAGAAGTGGCCAAAGAAGTAGACTAATGTTGGAAATTAACTTGCTTCTTTTAAAGAATTCTTTCACTAGAATTAATTGAAGTCTCTACTTATTTTGAATCGTTTCGTTAGATGTAATCAGTTGCTTTTCCCTCGTGTAGTTTGAATAAATCTTTCTTGCAATTAGTTTCCATTTGTTATACTTCAACAATCCACCTCATTCTTGTCTTTTATTGAAAAGTTTTTAAAATCAAATCTTTAAAAATTGAAGAAAATTTTGGTTCTAGAAATTTGTCGTCTTTGCACCACTTCTAAAATAGTCGTAAATATTCTGAAACAATTGGCCTTGATTCAAAATATTTGGTATTTAAAATTTTTAATTTTGATTTTTCCAAAGCAAATAATAATTTGGGAAATTGCACTTCCTCCAATATACAATGCAAATAGACACAGTATTCACATCAAGCATCTCAAAGTAAACAATTCTAGATTGTATTATGTCCCTTTTTCTTTTTCTGGTCTAAAATATCGTTGAAATTTTATTTTAACGATATTTTTAAAGTGATTTTTCTTTGACAGCTATTCTTCCTCTTCTTTTTCTCTCTGTTTTAAATTAACTTTGATATTTATGTTTTATATTTTTGTATTTTCATAGGCATGAGATACTTTTAAAATGAGACTTTATGTCATTTTCTGAAAGGTAAAGATGCAACAGTGGTATATTCGACTAACTGCTATACAAATTGCGCTTTAATTAATTTCATTCTTTATTACATTCATGGAATCAAATTGAACTGTAACAGTTATGTCATCAGCATTGATAGCATATATGTAATAACAGCAGGCGCAAAAGACTGTTTTAAATGACAGCAGTGAGGCATTACTAATAATAGCGTCAGTAATGGCAAGGAATAGAAATGCAGTATTAACTGTGGTATTAACTATGTTGCGGTATGGTGGCAGTAATATAAGTTACAATAAGTAACTTTCACATGGAAATCGTACCTAGAAAGAAGTAATACTGCAAACTGTCTTCGCTGTTAAAAGTTCGTCAAGTTTTTTTTTTTTTTTTTTTTTTTTTTTTACTTTTTGTCAGGCTTAAACATTACGTATCCACGTTTGCCAACGATTTTTAACTTATTTAGAATTTGATTTAATTTCTCTTGCATTGACAGAAGTTCTGCAAATAATCGAAAGCTAGCAAAACTTATTATTCAATGTTTTCGTTATTCCAAATAATCTTTTCCATGAAAGCTAATGGAACTTGGCAGGTGCTTGAACCTGTGTTTTCAGAAATCAGTCGTGTTAAATATGATTCAGTCAAAGGTATGAAAATCAAAAAGATTATTACTCTTAATTTGTATTTCCTAACTAATTTTAATATTACTGTTGTCCTTTAATAAAAAGACTGTTACTTACAACAAAGCACGATATGGCTAAAATTAGAATAATTAAAAAGTTGTTGCCTGAAATTTTATTATTTTATAGTTTTATTAGGTCATGAAAAGTGTGTTAGTTTCTGTTGATGTTATCTAAATGTTAAGTATTTTAACTTTTCAGCAAACAAATTAGAAAAAAAATGGTGTCCGTGACCTTTTTTTTTCTAAATTATTTTTTGAACAGAAAATAAATCCTTGAAATTAAAACTTGCTCCAAAGTTTTTTGATATTTTAGAATGAACGCATTACTTGAATTCGAGTCGTTGCATAAAATAAACGAAAATGAGAGGATGAAGAAAATTTTTACTGCAGCAGTAATTCTTTCGTCTTTAATATTCTTCTTCATATGTTCTTCATTCTCAGCAGTCAAGAATGTCAAGAATTTTTCACCGATGAAAACTCTTTCTCTCTATTCAACAAACAATTTTTTTATTTTCAAATTATGTACTACAATAAAATAAAGTGCTGCAAAATATATTCTGCTGGAAATTTTTTTAAAAAGAAATTATTCCGTTTTCTTCGTCCTCAATTGCTTCAAACTTTTCGACGCTTCATAAGTACTTTTTTATTGGAAATATAATTGAAAGCACTTAAGATAAGATCAAAATAGGTTGCTTCTTGTGAAAAGCAAAGTCAGTTTTTAAATGACTGAAAAAAAAGCACAAACATTAAATTGTTTGCTTGGCGATTGGCAGCGTGATGCACTGCTATCATCTTCTGGCAAGCGGTATTGGTTTTGGTTTCTCTTTTGCATCTTTAAAGTTGACCAATTATTCTGTGAGAGGAGCAAAGTGGCCTACCTGGTTACTATTGTTGCTAGGCAACCTTGGCACTTACCTCACTTTTGGCATAATTTACAGCTAAGACAGTTGTTACAAAGGATTATACTGGCTGACACCTACCGAAGCTATTTGCTAATTAAGGCAAACTTTGTAGAAAATCCCTGTACTCATGACTTTAACAAGTTTGAACCTAAGTCCCATCCAACTTCCCACTTGTTCGATCTATTAACCAGAATCTTCCACATCTGTTGACCTCAGATGAAAATTAGTAAAGCGTGAATCATGTGATTCGTTTTTCATCCAGCTTTTCACTTACAGACTAATGTCTTCAGTTTATATATTTCTTGCTCTTTCTCTATGCTTTACAAATCTTAGACCTTTCTTTATTCGATGTTCAATTCGTTAATATTTCTTTCAAATCTCATTTGACAATCTCATTACTCTAAACTAATTTAGGGTCATTAGCCCCACTTTACTGATGCAACATACTTCCATGAGCATTTCTGCTGGTGAAGTCATTTCAAAAAAAGTAGAATAAATTGCTAATTCTTTGATAGAAATTGCACATCCGTAGAATTCTTATTCACTAAATTTATGGAGCATCAAATATAAGGAAAGAAAAATAATTTTATTACTTTTTTAAAAAAAAATAGTGACTCCTATTTAACTGAAATTGATTAAACGAAAGGTTGAATATGTGAAAAAGAATATAAATGGGTGATTTTACGACAAATTACTTCCATCCTTTGCCGAATTTTACTAGATAAAATATCCGGAATAGATATCTGAATAGATCAGACTCTGACATGTATAAGAAAAATATTTTCATGCAGCTACAAGATGAAATTTATTTTCATGGCTACTACAAAGCTGCCATTGTTTTATTTACTCGAATTTTTGTGAATGTTTTTTCTTCAAAAAGTTTTGTTTTTCGAAAAATCGAAGTTGTTATCAATCAAACCAACTTGTGCATTATAGAACTATTCTAATGACAGTATTGAAACTCTTAGGTAAGCCAATTGTTATCCGAAATATATTGACAACTCTTGCAATTTGAATGTATTTTGATGATACTACACTTTACGCGAATTAAGAAAACGTATTGAGTTAGTTTAGAAAAAATCATTTCCTTGGATTTTGGCCTACCATAGAAGAACTTCTGGAACAATTTTATTAGGACTGCAAGTATAGTTTTTTTTCTAATGTAGTAAAATCAAACTGCAACAATCGTTTACATTCATATTCTTATTTATCATCTTACCAGTTTATCACGGTTCTTCACGTCACGTAACGAAATTAATTTGTTTTGACGTTTGTATTTTAACTAACACTTAAATTAACAACCACATAGATCATGAATCGTTTAACATAACGAAATATTTGTCACTGTAACTTAACTAAATTCACCAAACGAATAAATATATCTTATCATATCGGAATTTTATTTGAATATTTGCATTTTTCAAAAAACTACGCTGTCAAATATTGCTGTCACTTAACAGGACTTCTTTTATTCTCCGATCGATTACTGATATTTTTAACAAAATGAACAGGATTACATTCATAATGCACCTCGTTCCATTTCATGTTAGTGAAATAAACAGGGGCTTATCAGTTATATTACTGTTAAGAACAATGTTAATAGTACAGATAGGCACATTTCATCTTCCACTATCATCCATTTACTTTGTGTAATTAAGGAAAGATTCGAAATATCCAGCATATTTCAAAAAAATAGAGAATAAATATTCCCCACCTGCGTCTTCATGAATTTATTTTTTCCTTTGTTTTCAGCACTGAACAATTTTCGATTGCAGTTTGGTTAGACAACAATAAAGGCCATCACAAAACAATTTGTCTAACTTAATTGTTTTTCTGATTTGTGTCAATTAAGGTCAGTTATACCTATCGAAAATGACATTTCAGATGTAGCTGCAACAGAAAATGACATGGTGAAGCAAAAGCAGGAATCATTTTCGATCCTTAATGAATTCGATTACTCATTTACCGTTCGTTTATTAAATTCTACTTATTTAAATTATTCAAAATACTGGGAAGGACTTATGGATGATTCCTTTCATATAATCATTGGAAAGCTTCAATATTAGTTCAATCCCAAGTGCTAATCATCCTTTTCAGGTGATGTTAATTGGTGATAGTTGCTGTGGTAAAACCTGTTTGTTGGTCCGATTTAAAGATGACGCTTTTTTAAACAATAATTTCATTTCCACTGTTGGGATTGATTATCGAGTGAAAATGCTTCCATTATTTATGTTTATTGCACATTATTTTATTTTATTAATTGGAATTTGAAATTACAAAAAATAGCTGAAATAAACGCTCAGTTAGTAAATTACAAACAATCCCTCTTTAATAGTTATTTTTCAATTACAAGAGTTTAAATTACTTATTTTCTGTTTCAGAATAAACTGATCAAAGTCAACGATGCTAAGGTTAAGCTACAAGTAAGAGTATCCATTGCATGCTTTTTTGCTTTTCACCTCACTTTTTTTTTTTTGTTTCTTCAATATTATGAGAAAAAAAGATCAACTTCATCTCTATGTCTACAGATTTAATAATTTTACACTACAAATTATTTTCCTTGCAAGAAGTTTATAGAAAGTATTGTGTAAACATTGGTTTTTAGAAATGGAACTTTTTTTTAAAAAAAAGGACACATAATTGTTTTGAGAAAAGAATCAGTTAGTAATCTTATTTTTTGATACTGCTATATTGCTCAGATCTGGGATACGGCTGGTCAGGAAAGGTTTCTTGCCATAACAACAACTTATTACCGTGATGCTGATGCACTTTTGCTTGTTTATGATTTAACGAACCGACAAAGCTTTATCAATATACGAGTAAGTTTAAGAAATGCATGCGATGACATAAGACGTACGTATGACATGGAAGTGCGACATAACCCAGAATCATCGCATCTGTGCATTAGCATAAATAAATAAGTTCAGATTCAATTTGATCAATTTTAGGTTTCAAAGAAAAAGTAGCCTTTTTAATGTGTTCATTACAGGAGTAATTTTTAGGATTGGCTTACGCGAATCAAAGAAAATGCTAAGGAGACCGTGCTAATAACACTTGTAGGTAATAAGATGGACTTACAAAGAGGTCGAAAAGTGAAATATGAAGAAGGAAAACAACTTGCTGAGGTTTGTTTCATTTCAATACTGTCAGTTTAATCTTTCGAATTATAAAAAGAATGCAAAAAAACTTCTGCGTGCAATTAACATTCGATCGGTCAATCAATCATCAATCAATCAACCAATCATCGAACCTTTCCTACTGCATATGTAGACCTCCTGCAAGTAGATCTCGCACTAATAACAATGTTTTTCAGGCATATAACATTGCATTTATAGAAACGAGTGCTAAAAGTGGTCAAAATGTTAAAGAGACATTTCAGGACATTGCAAGGTTGAGTTTTCAAGTGAAGTATTAATTAGACATTATAAGCTTTTTTACAACAAATATTCATACTAACTCATCAAGTTCGACAAATATTTTTTTGCAGAAAACTTGTCAAGATGAAGAACGGTGAAAGTGTAAAAAGTAAATCAGCAATCGAACTTGTAGATACATTGTCAAAGAGCTCTTCCTGTTGCCTAACTTTTTGACTATTCGATTATTTTATTCTGATGGTGACACAATAATAATAATAATTATTAATAATCACAACAATAATAATAATAATAATAATAATTATTATTATTATTATTATTGTTAACAATGAATTATGATTGATTATATGTAGAAAATAATAAGAAAAATTTATAAATGAGTATGTGTAGTGATAACAATAATAATAATTTATAAATGAGTATATGTTTCACATAAATTTTGATTATAAAATGAAAAAGTTTTACATACGATGAATTTCAGCTATATTTGCCAATGACATGCAATCAATACACTTATGTTACGAAACCTAAATCAACAATGTCTTGGAATTAATATTTAAAAAAGATTTCAGTAGTAGAGTTTAGATAGTTTCTGTTCACTACGGGCTTTGTAATATTATTGATAGCAATATTATCAGTTTGATTGTAATTTTTAATTAATCAATAACTAATCACTTTCATGAATTCATCCAATTCTTCGAAATTTTACATTTGAAATGACTCGAAATAGAAAACCATTGAATTCTAATCGAAGATTGTCATCGTCACGATCGATATTCAGAGGAACAACCCGAAGACCACTCATCTGAGGTAACAGAGAAAATTCGGTGATTACTGCGTCATCGGTCATTGTCTTGCTGGACGGCCCGCTGACTGTATACAATAGGACAAGAACGAGTGAAGGATCAATGTTTCCACGTTGTACAAATTCCTTGTACCTTAACATAAACAAAAACAGATTTGAAACCTTAATTTTACCGATTCATAACAAAATATTTGATCTACTTACTACTTCTGGTAATCCGGAATTATGCAGTATTTTTACGATTTTCATGTGAAATGGCATTTATTCGGTTGAAGGTGTGGGGGTATAATCTAAATTAACAGAAGAGTCATCGATCATTCCATTCTTTTCCGTATTGTTTTGCAAAGAATGTTTTATTTCTTCAAAAAAGATATTTCCAAAACTAAACATATTATTATTGCCATTTCAAAACCTAAATGTTATTAGCTACTGGTTGATCATACTTGACTTATCAGCTAATTCCTGTTGTAACAAATTTACAGTTAAGATACTTCACATGGAAATGACCACTAAACCATATAATTCAGCGAGAGAAATAATCCTCATCGCCCTTTCTTAATTAAGGAATTAAAATATGGCACATGATACCACGGTAAAAGTGAGGATCCTTTGTCTTGATCAGGCTTACATACCAATATAACGCCATGAGTATTATGTCTGATAGCAGGCCAACATCGTTGATACTTTTTATCACCACTGCAGTCCCAAAGTTCTACCTCTGCTTCCACTCGTTCTCCATTAAGTTCCAAATCATTGCTTTCGAATTCAACTATTCGTACACCTCAATATTATTATAACTTTCTTAATATCGAAAGACTGCTAAGTAGCAGATTATCTCGGGGTTCAAAGGTGAAAACTAGCCTGCAATACTCGAAACAAATAATATCTTTAAGAAATTCAATCCTTAAATTTCAGCCTTAAATAATCTTTTAAGATAAAAAACTCTTCAGAGTAAATCTTATTTAAATTTTCGAATCTTTTTTGAAATGAACAAATAAAGTTTTCACCTCGGGTTGGTCGGTGTATATTGAAACTTATATCGTTTGAATCTGCCAAGTAATTCGATATTGTCGTCTTTCCGCTCTAATTCATAATGTAATTAGGAAAAACGCTTTTTCCTTATTTTAGCAAACTAAACGTTTATTGTATATACAATTACATGAGCTTACAGATTTTGAAACAGAAAAAGTTAAAAGTTGTTCGGAAAAGAAAAATGAGTGTTAGTTAACAAAGTTCATTTGATTTGAAAAATTGACTTACATTGTTTCTTTAATAAAAAATCTGATCGATAGCAGTAAAAATGACAAATATTTTAAATTGCTGAATCACAAAAAAATTTAACAAGAAACAAAGAAATTTAACATATTTAGATTTCGCTGATCAAATAATTATTTGTTACCTAAATTTCCCAGCACAGATATTTAGAAAAAAAGTTTGAAAATTCAAAACGTTGTCTTAACAAAAGTTTTGAGCATTGGATTTTAACATGAGACTTAACGTGACCTTTTTCAAATTGACTAATTAATATATATGTTAATTACAAGGACGATAGATTTAGAATTGCTTGAGAGTAATATAATTTTACCTTAAGTGGTCCAAGAACAAGAATTTTGATCTTCAAAGGAGCGGTTGTTGTCATCCTTTTCATTGATGCTATGGAAACTAATCACCATGACTACATCATCAACTTTCTATATAACAGTGAAATTTTTGCAAGTATGTTGATCTCAAAAAAAACCTGAACTATCTCATCGGTTGACATTCTTATTGCGGAATTTACAAGGACTAGCTTACATGACCGAATTACTGAAAATATAATAAAAACGTGCTGGTAAGCAAGAAATTCAAAACTTTTTGAGCGTGTTTCAAACTAATTCTTTTAAAAGTGATAAAATGGTGAAATTTCAAAACATTGTACGGTTTTCAATTCTTTGGGTGGTTGCTTTAACTAAGGAGTTGCTTAGAATAACTTTGTCTCTCCGTGTCTTTGGTTACGTTCTTGAATTCAAAATTGATCTAAATAGTTTGAAACAGGTCTAGAAATTAAGTTTAAACATGTTTCGAAATTACATGATATCTCTTGAATTTTCACACAAAATCATAGCTTCCATTATGATATGATGAAAAAAGCTTTTTTTAGGCTTAAAATTTTTGGGTTTTGAACTATATATTTATTGCATGATAAATAATGGCTGCCAACACTCCACCAGTAGGAAGCTTACCTCCAGCTTCAACTCCAACCCCAATAGCTGACGCTACAGCTCTACCTGCGGAAAATGTTTCGCCGACTACTAATACACCACAAGGCGGGGCAAAAGCGCCCGTGGCTGTCATACCAGTGCCAATACCACCAAATAAGCCAAATGAGCCAGCTTTTCAACTTAAAATTGAGCCAGATACAAGACTGGAGTTCAAGAGTGACAAATTGACGGAAGAACCGTGTCAAATTGAGGTTAAATTGACAAATCCAACGAAGGATAGGCAAACATTCAAGGTCTTTTTTCAACTAGAAATTTGTGTCAAAATTAAGTTCATCTGAGAAATTGGGTGTAAAAATGAATGATATCAATTGGTCTGATAATTTTGTAAAACAACCAATTCGATGCGAGTTAAATGAACATTTAATAATTTCTCCTTCAGTGTTTGTATGTCCAAATTTTGTCTGTCTTAGCTTAGTAAGTCCAACAGCTGCAATGGTCAGGAAATACATACATTTCTACAGATACCTCAGATTATACGATTCATAAGACACAGATAGAAAATTTCTCGTATTCATTCCTTGCATATCGTTATTCCAAAAGAAATCAATGAATCCCAGAATGTTCTAGGTAAAATGCACATCGAACGACATTTTTCGGGTACGTCCACCACTTGGATTTTGCGATGCAGAAGCTTCGACTCCAATTAAAATTACATTTTCAAGTAAAACAGTGCCTGATAGTGGAAGGCATTATTTTGCATTCTATCATATGAAAAGTAATGAGGTTTGTTAATACTATGAAATTCTGGTTGATCTTTTGAGGAACTCTTGTCGAAGAAATCAAGAACCACATTTTTTCTTCCTTTCTCAGATTCACTTTTTTAGTTAAAAAATTCGGGTTAAGGAGACCAGTATCCTCTATTTTCTGAATTCAGTTATTTGATATAATGTCAATAATATGTGCACAGTCGAGAGATATTACGGCGCTTTCTTTATAAACAGAATGTTTTAGCATTAGACCTCAAAAAGTCAATAACAACATATTACCTAAAAAGATATTAGGAAAGAAATGTATTTAAAAAAAGTTATATTGACGAAAGGATCGATCATACGATCTGATGATCTGACATTTCAGCACTATTATTTAGAGAAGTGAACTGTACCTACCAATGTGTGATTACATTTTAATGTGACAGTAACCATAGTCAAAAGGACTATCATCATTTGGCCATTACATTCCTGAGGCTTCTATCATTTATCATTGTAATATATATTAGCGCTATTTTAAGTCAGTTGCTGCTTTAACATATTATCAATCAGAATGTTTGCTATTCGGATGATGCTGACTATTGAAGAGTTAATAGAATGTTTGAGTAGATATGTCGTGAAAACTTCTGGTAGATAACGATGATTGATTGTTTGTCATTTTTTGCTTAGATAATATTTTTGAGAAATAGGCTCACTGCCTTCTTATTTCTTTCTTATGCACTTTGTTACAATTTCTACCGGAAATGAAAATGAATTACAGATTGTCATTTACATCATTTGCTTCCGGATTCCTAATGCTTTAATGTTATGTGTTATATTCTGATTATAAGAAAGTGAGCCGAGTCTCAGCATTTCTGCTTCACAATAATATTTTGATGTATCTCTGTGCAATTGTCAATTTTGGTTTAGCTAACTGGAAGGAAGCGACCATTAGTACTTCTCTCATTCCTTTTTGTAGCCAGAATCTTTGAGTCCAGGATTGATGGGTGTATTTCAGTACTGGACCATTATTTTATTTCAGAAAGAAAAGACTGCCCGACAAGTTTGGACACCTCAATCAAAGTTTGAAGGTGTACGCCGTATTATGGTTTACTTCCTCAAAAATGATGGAACTCCAGTCCCACCCACTGGGAATACACCACAAACTGGTGACACACTGCCAGCAACTGTGCCAACTGGTGGTGCTACTGCACAAGTGGCGGATACACCGGCAGCGAATGCATCTGCGCCAGCTGCAGTTCCTGATGCAAAAGCATCAGGAACTGCAGATGAAAAGGCGACAGCTCCGGACGCAAAAAGATCTTCTACTGTGACGAAATGAAAGTCAGTTGAAGGAAAAATGTACAAAAAATAATTCGAAAGATGTGCGATTTTCACCTCACATATTTTGAGAAAAAATGACCCGAAAGAAGGATTTTAAATCCAAGAGTCAATGCTTCATATATCTTTTGTCAATGCAAATAACCCATAATTATCATTATTAATGCAATAAATGACCATTAAAGGTGCTGAGTGCAATTGAACAACAATGGTAAAATAAACATGGAGTTGAATATTTTAAACTCTCTGAGTGACTTGATGAATATTTGTAGTTCGAAAGTTCAGTTTATAGATCTTCGAGCAATTGGAACAGCTGTTTGTACTAGTTAATTTGCTCCTCTACACGCACGTGTATCACTACCTCTTCACATCTGCATTATTTCCTTCAACTTTATCAACTTATCGCCACTGATTTCCTGGTATCGATGAACTGCATTTCTGTTGACTTTTTGAGTATTTTTTATAATAAATAATTCTTATTTTACATTTAAAAACAGTGTGACTCGTCGTAACTTTTCGTATTTTTTTCACGTTTTGATAGATAGTAGAAGAATAAATGTACCGGAAGTGTGCGCGCATAATATCAAATGAATTACATGATCTTTGTGTAAGACTAATATCAACCATTCTGTACAATTAAGATACAATTAGAAGCTTATTTCTATACTTAATTTACCTTAAAGTCGCGGATTTCATTTAGCGAAACCTAGTAATTTATAACTATTAATAAGGGTTCCTTGCTTAACTAATTCATAACTTAACTTGTGAACAAATATTTCTTTTTATTCTAGTTCCAATTGGCAAAAGTAACAGTTATAATGAAGAATCGTGGAAAAAATTTCGATGTTGTAAGTTTTTGTGTTACAGCCTGCATATATATTGTAAAAATTGAAATTGAGTTCAGATATGCAATAAGAAATAGCTTTGTAGGTACACCACGGTATGGTACTACTCAGTGATGGTAAAGGTCGGGGACGACCCGCACGACTGGAACTTACAAAAGGTTGACAATGATCGAAAATTATTCAAAACAGATAGGAAAATACTGTAATGATAAACTTCTGCAGCCAATGTCTGATTAATTCATTTCAATAACACTTTGATAAGTCAAAATCAAAACATTTTTTGATATTTTCTAAACTTTAATGGATTCTTCTGACTTAAAAGTAAGCTTCAATTTAGTTAAAATCAAAGCAGCTCATTTTTTTGGATTACGTAGGTATAAATTTCAGATGTTCTCATTATTCAAATAACTGCTAAAAGCAGTTTTTCCGACGAAACGAAGGATTCGATGATGGAACTTGATACTAGCATAAGACATGTTAAGTTATGCAAGAAAAGTGACGCTGGTTTAGGATTATCAATCAAAGTAAGTTGGGTAAAATAAAAATAGAATTTTTCCACTTTCTAACTGGCGAAACTTTTTTCAGGGTGGTAGTGATGGCAATCAGCAAGTTCCGGTTGTCATTTCAAAGATTTTCCGTAACACTCCTGGTATGTGCATTAAAAAGTCACTTTTATTATTCTCAATGGTTCGTTCCACTTAAACAGCAATTCAAAATTTGAAGTTGATGATAACCCATAATCGATTTTACTGTAACGCTTTCATCGCTTTAATTATCCATCATAACTCAAACAATCACCCTGTATGATGATATTGATGTGGTGATATCATGGTAATATTATATCACTATAGCGGAAGCGTGCGGCCAGCTATATCTTGGCGATGTGATCGTTGAAATAAATGGTCAGTCGACAGATGGCAAAACTCATGATGAAATTGTCCAAATTTTGAAGGATACTGGAGATGAAGTGACTCTTAGTGTCAGACATTATATACAAATTGCTCCTTATCTAAAGTTCGATTTTACATTAAAGTTAAACATTTATTGGATGCTCATTAAATTATCTACCTAAGTTTGTGATTTAAGCTTTAACACTCTATATAATGACTTAAGTTATGAAAGATGGGAGAGGAATAATGAATGTTGAATATCGTTTTGTGAAACCTGTGAAAGTCTAAGTTTTTAATGGCATGATAACTTTAATACTGTAATGATCCATCAGTGCCCTAAAAAAAGAGGTGATGGATTTTGCAACATTTTTGTACTTCCTATGAAAAAACTTACGAAACTGACGTGACATATTGAAACAATTATCAATGAGAGGATAGCTTTTAACACTTCGATCATATTTTGTAACATTTGATTCCGTCAGCTTTTTTCGGTGTGTAAAGTCTCACATAACCTTTTCAGGCCGTCAGATTCACTCAGATCACACACAGAAAACGCATTTGACCGTCTTTATGAACCGAACACCTGGAAGGTTCAACAATTCATTTATTTAGAGCGGAAGTTTTTCTTAAATATTATTGCTGATGGGATTGTTACAAGGAAAAATCTGTTTATCTTGTTATGGATTTAAGTAAATATTAAAACTTAAAATCTCGAAATCAAATTTAGAGCTCATTAAAAGTACAGTCATCGGTTCCGGCAGGTGATATAACTAGTATACGAAGTTCGACCGGTCGAGGTACAGCTGAAGACACGCCAGATGAATGGAAAACGATGGCTAAGATTCCACTACCGATGGCGTTTATTACGCGTTATCTGTGGGGAACTGATAAATTGAGGTTATCACTTAAATATAATTTATGTAATACCAATTAAGATATAAAATAGGATTTAATCTCATCTTATCAATTTCGTAACTAAAAGTCATAGACGCTGCTGGATCCATTTTAATCAGTTTATGTAAATTTTAAGATATTTTCATTCCTTTTTTTTTTTTTTTTTTTTTTAAAGATACTTTCATTCAATAGGATATAATCCTCAACTGTTATTCAATCGTTCCCCTAATATAAAGCAATTACCATTTAGCATACTTTCCAATTGCTATTAAAATTTTAAATTCCTTTAGAATTTTAGAATAAAATTTTTACGATTTACATAATTTCAAGAGCGCTTAGACTTTCAGAAACAATGCATTCGAAGTTCGTGCGGTCGACGGCTCATCGACAGGTATTGTACACTGCGAAGATAAAAATACTACGGAACAATGGATTAAACACATTCAGAGTCGCATTACATCGCTCAATTATAAATCCATCAAACTGTCAAATAAATATTTGCATAAAAATGAGCAGGTTAGTACTAAGAAGAGTAACAGATCAAAAAATAGCTGGTTGGCTTTGTGTGTGACAATGTTGAATAATGAAATAATGGGTTAAAAACTTTTGAAACTTTTGCGAAGTTATTGAAATTGTTAGCCTCTCAAGAGAATTTAGAGATTCAAAGAAGCAAAGGAATCTCATAAAATAAAAATATAAAAGGAAAGGTTGTGACTGTAAGGACTCAATTTGAAAAATTTCCCTTTGTTTCTGCATTGATCCGTATTAATTGAAATTTAATAACATTTTCAGATAACGTACATCGGTTGGGTAAGTGAACGATTACCAGAAGAACATTTTAAAGATCCATGTCAACGTTGGGAACCTCGATTCATCATCCTGAAAGGCGGCGAACTTTGTATTTTCGAGTCTCCACCAGTATGTTGGGCATCAAGAAATTGCTTAGGCTTTTTTTTTAATAATTTGACTTTTGTTCGGTCCATAAATACAGCTTTAAATAGAAATTGAATGATTTGTAGCTGAATTCGGATGACTTGAATAAGTGCGTATCGCTATACAAAATTTACGATACAGCATTCAAAGTGATGGATAGAGAAAAACCGGCGTTAGACAAACGTGATTATTGTTTCTGGATTGAAACATCCATAAATGGATTGAAACATTACATGTCAGTTGAGAATCATCATCAATTCAATCAGTTTGACGTAGCTTATCACCGTTGTCTGCACAGTACTGTCAACAGCTTCCAGGTATTTACTTGTCCGAATTTATCATTCATATCATTGCGAACTTATTTACTTATGTCATTTGTCTGTCCCACAAACATATGCCTTATCATAGCATATATTTAATCATGTTTATCATTTCTCACCCGTCCTTAATTTTTTGTTTATACTAATTTTCTTGACATCAATTTTTCTCTAAGTATCACATTTTTAATTCTCAGACACGCACATTTGCATGCAGTTATCAAGGGCGCCCTAGTGGTTTGGTAATTGATATCAAGCAGGGTATAAGCTTATATGACATTCCTACAAAGGTATATTTTCTTTTTCAGAAATTTATCCAATCACTAAAAAAAATCTTTAATAAATCGTGCGTAAAACCTTTATATGCTTTCTTGAAAAATACCACACTATGTAATGATATATGAAATGAAGATCACTTCCTCATACTGTATAGCTCTTTATTAAACCTTAACACTTTCTCGTGTGCTTGCTTTTTGCTAAGCATTATTTCAAAATACTTTCAACATCACTGTAAGCAATCTAAAATTAAAAAAAATCTTCAATAAATCGTGCGTAAAACCATTCCCATTTATACTTTCTGCAAATTTATAGCGCTACTCGTGGCAGTATCGTTTCTGTGATTTGGAATCATCATCTGATGATGGAAAAATACGACTCCGACTTATTTTCCGAGATATGCGAAGTTCATCTAGCAATAATTTAGAAATTAAGGTAAGAAATATTGGACTGCTGATAGTTAAGCTATGGCCCCGATGATACAAAAACACATTAGCTATACTCAACTTATAACCCTGACAACATTTAACATTTATATGCAGTACCATACTAATAATAAAGAATGGGAGTTAAACCTTATGCTGTTTAGTTCTTACTAGATCAAAGATCTTAACACTTCTTTCCAATCTATTGAAGAAAGAGATAACATACGAAAATGAAACCTGATATGACCGTGGAATACTGCAAAGTGTATATCCCATACATACAGTTTGAGTTTATTGCTTCGTTTTTCAGGATATTGATAGTGATGAACTTCTGTTTATTGTGTACACAATGCATGCGTTTTATGTAACCAAAGTTATTGGAACGGATCCGGATTACCTGAAAACTGTTCCGCTTATTTAGCGAAATAATTAGAAGAGCCGAAATATTTCGTAGAATGACAATGGGTCTTACGATACAGATTTGGTGCATTAATGGTTTCATAAAGACTGCAAGAAAGTGATGGTCGTCGCATGTATTTCTGTTTCCATATGAGATAACTCATGAATGATATGAGACCATCGAAAGAATGGTACAGGAAACAAATTTGTAGTCTTAGTAATCTTAATAATTAGTTATTCCTAATAATTTGTATGATTTGATGCCCAGTATCAACTTTTTTTAAAATTAAATTGGGATGAAATGGGGAATGAGGAAAGTCTAAAACAAATTTTGATGCGTAATTTGCAACTCCAAACAATACTTTCACTCAACTGAAGTCCTTCCTATTAGTCAATTAGAAACAGATGACATTTCAGCATTCCTTTTTTGAAAAAAATTAAGAACTACTTAAATCCATTCTGTCCTGAACTCAACCTTAAAATGTCGCCACTAAAATATTGTTATAAATTGGAAGTCGGTGACAGCCATAATGAATAGTCAGTTTTTATAAATTTTGTATGCAGATTCAGAAACGCAAATAAAAACTACAAATAGGGTTCAAAACACATGAATAAACTGATATGGAAAACAGCAGCACATCTAGAATATAACAAAAGATCAATTCTCGTAGGACTTAAGTAACTTCAAAACAAATAATGTAGCCTTGCAAACATAGGATAAGCGTCCATACTAGTAGCCTTTCATATTTCAGTCAGTTACAACATCAGCCATACATTTCAAACCCAAGAACTACAGCCTTGTTCCACCCGAACAATTTCTAGCATACTACAGCTGACTGACATTCTTAGGAAGACAAAATACATAATTTTTTCTTTATAATACCAAATAATTTAAAGCTATTAGAAATATGAAAGAGGACTTTCAAAATTCAGGCAACATTTTCTTCTTTGCTTTTACCGTTTATAAAGGACAATTTCACGACACCAAACTGTTGAAGGAAGCCAAAATAACTCCAAGCCTCTTGAAATCTCTGAGACATCAAACGCTGACTGGTATATGCATCATCGTGCTGCAGAATTTGACACGCAAGTATTGTGTTCATTTCACGAAGCAGTGGAGTAACAGCACATGTTGGAAAATGCTTCTGGTATACATGCACAATCTATAAGATTGAACTGGAACAAATAGCAAAACATCGTTTTTAAACTCAGAGGCTTATGAATCCGAAATTCCCCGCTATGAGATACTTCCCAGTAATTCAAAACAGCTGAAATTAATTGAACTAAAATTCAGTAAAGATTAGACAGAAGTCTGAATAAAGTTCCCGGACGAAGACCTAAACCAGTATATAAAATACTGATGACAAAGTATTTCAGGTGTGTTTTCAAGTAGTGTATTAGGCATATATCATTAAGTTCGTGTTACAGGTTTCTTTTTGCTAAACAGAACCAATAAAAAAGTGCGAAACAAATTCCATTTCACACGCCGTCACCAATACCATATTAACGACAGATATTTGAAAGACAAGACCTTATCGACTTGATCCAAAACGTCTTCGTGTGGCAAAATGTTCAGTACTACAATTCCTGAAATTATCATGAAACAAAATAGTGACAAATCTTGTAAACGTAGTTCTTTATTTTAATTAGACATAACACCCATCCAAATCCTTGAAATGCGATACTGGATTAACCCACCTCGACAAAACAATATACCTGTCGGTTCCAGAATTTTCTTCAAATTCTCGATAAAATCTGGCCTGATGAACGATTCGGCAGGACAAATTACATCGCCAACTTCGTCGCATACATCAATAAGAACAACATCAAAGAGGGCTTCTGAAATCAATGATGAAAGCTGAAATAAGTTGAGGAAATAATATATATGTTCGATATGGAAATTATTTAAAACACATTTACTTAAGTATAGAGTATCCAAACTATCTGAACGAATTTAATAATAACACACCACGGAAAGGTTTAAAGGATTTTATGAAAAAAGTGTTACTCTTAGTTACTGCTTCTTCAATAAATTTCACGCCATTCATCGTGACGATACGAATTTTTTCATGCCTTTTTTCCAATCCGAACCACCGCCATGTTAGATCAGTAACAACCTCGTCCAGTTCAACAACAGTTACCGCCATCTACAATGGAAACAGGAAATCGAAGTTCAATTTATTTTTGCATACCAAACAATGTTTACCGCTTAGTTCAAAGAAAAGAAAAAAAAAACCTTCAAAGAACTTCAAAGGAAAAACCAGAATTAACAAAGAAAAGAACAGAAAAAGTTTCATACTTATCCAGCTCTTTTTATTACCCAATTATCCAACTTTTTTTTTCACGCTTTTTCTATTTTCTATTTTTTTTGACTTCTTCATTAGAATCCTATCTAAGCCTTTCTTTAATGTTAAGGGGATTAAGTAAATCTTAAGTTTCTCAACTAAATTTCAGATCTCAAGCCATCACGTTTTTTTTTTTTTTTTTTTTTTTTTTTTTTTTGCAGGAATCAACAGTCAATAAAGAAAGTATTAATGAACCAAACAGGTCCAATACATAAACTAATCACCTTCAATAAGTGTCTGACAATGCACCTATAAAATGCCCGAAAAAGCGACCTTCGGAAAATGACTTGCCAAAAACATATTCATGCTGCCACCACCAAGACCAACTATCAAAATATTCGCTGCCAGGTTGGCGTAATTAGAGAGTGCCAACGCAGCAGCACCAAATGGTACAGTTAACATAACTGCTACATAATGTCTACTGATATGTGTATGATTCACTTTCCAGAACCGTGAATCCGACTGTTTAGACTTGATACCTAAATGCTTTCTATACAACTGGGACAAACTGACTGGATTTAAAAACAGTGCAGTAAATATGAAAAGAGTGCCGAACCCATCTTTAAATTGCACTAATGTAGTCCCTAAAAATCTAAATTTTAAGAATCTGATTATAAGTGATCAAGAAATGATTAAAACAATAATTTGTTGTAAAATACATCCTTCAATAATTTAAATGCATCATATATCAAAAAGTCAATACCTAACAAGTTCAAGTCCTCAAAAAAAAAAATCAAACTGAACCTATAGGTGGGATGAGGCGGACAACAGTTTCCTGTTCCTTTCGAACATGTCGCGCTATCAGAAAACGGTTAACATCACCACTGAAATAACTCGTCCATTTATTTTAATTGAATTAGTTTAAGCCAACTTCAGCACTAAGCACACAGTTCAAGTACATATTCTCAGTTTCATTACCATTCGGAACGCTCAATTTAGATCGAGTTCTTTCTCCGCCCTGAAGAAAACTCGCTTGAATTTTTCTAACTAAATCACAAGGCCGTGATTCAATTAGAAAAACCTGTTAAGGAAAAGAAGGATAGCAGATCATCTTCCACTCCACTTTCATGTATTTCTGTAGGTTTTATATATCTATAGACTTTTATGGAAGGATCAAAAGAATTCTGGAAATCGTGCAGATCTTAAATATAGGAACAAAAGAAGTGCAGTTTTGAATTCTGTAAGTCTATTCTTTCCTGAATCTTAAATTTAAAAAGCTGAATAAACTGAAAATTTGGAATATGATATATGTAAGATATAATTTGATGTGCAGTAATACAAAATAAGAAACTTACGTAAACATATCCACAGCATCATAAACAGTGTAGCAATCTCTTTTCATATTAGGACAAGGCCGTGATTCAATTACATAACGGATCTGTTGACCTTGAATAGCGGCAACCCCATAACTTTGATCTTCCACAAATATTGTCCAGTCCAATGACAGATAATACAGAAGCTTAATGCATGGAATAGAAACTTCACACGTTACTTCACTCACTTTTTATGATACCTGTTCTACTGGCTGCCTTTACCTATAGGCTTGACATGAAATTTATATGCTTTCTTGAAAAATACACTATGTAATGATAGATGAAATGAGGAGTAGTTCCTCATACTGTATAGCTCTTTATTAAACCTTAACACTTTCTCGTGTGCTTGCTTTTTGCTAAGCATTATTTCAAAATACTTTCAACATCACTGTAAGCAATCTAAAATTAGCGATTAGAAATTACAAAACATACAACTATATGACACTGAGAATTCACAAAAGTTCACAATTTCCTTTCCTTTCTGTAACATACGTTATGCAAATAAATGTAACTTAAATCAAACATTTATTAGAATGTAAAATTTAATTGAATCATATTATCACTATAAACACAGAGAATTGAGTTCTCTTCTAACAGCTGACTTCAGTATTCCTTTTCAAGGAGGAAATAATAAATTAATGGTACGATGAATTTCTTAAAATAAAGAGATGATATACCACTGTAACGGAAGCGCCAAAGATGATGATTATCTTAAATATCGGAAGCATATGACGGGAGTTACCAGTGCGCACACACAGTCGCCATAACAAGCTTATTGCTAGATACGATGCTTCACTACTATCTTTGTTCTTTTCGACTTTTAAATCCTCCACCGTTGAGGGAAGAAGCATTATCTGAAAGAATTTCAATTCTCAAATTCTATTTCCAGTCTTTTTACGTTTTAATGACATAAAAATTAACCATACATAGGGGAAAAAGTGCGCTTTAGGCAAGCGCTTATTCGAACGACCCAGATCGTATAAAATTGAAGCTAAGAAACCATCCCGTCTCCCACACCACCCCATTACACAACAAAAATTCACAGATTACAGTTTGAAGGAGAAGTAGAATTTGACAAGGCAGAATGAAATATAGATAGATGTTAGAGACGGAGGCAAAGAAATGATATAATGTAAGGGAAGGAGGGTAGCAGACTTATAAATATTTTCAAACAGTTAGCAGTATAATTTGAAAAAACTACGAATATATAATTGATAATAGGCTAGTAAGATTGATTGAGAGATATTGAAGATGACGAAATAGTGTGGAGCAGTGAGGATACAGTGCAATGATGGAGAGTGGAGTGACTCAGAAGGCAAACAATTACGGTTTGACGTAGAGTTCGCTTGTGGCTGATGAGAGCTTTCAAATATTAATTAATTAGAAATATAAACTGGATGTGGGCAATTAGACCAGTTTCCGGTGGTCTTCTGCTTAATGTCTACGTTGGGATTACTCTAACATTAAATTAAAATACAATTTGAAAAGAAAGCAGCTTGAATGAAATTTCGTTTACTACAGTTTGTAAAGTGCAACGATTTAATTGAATATATCTTTCTCGGAAATTCTGTCAAACTGGTTAGGATTAAATTCGAATTGATTTTAAACAAATTTGGAATAAAACTAAAACAAATTATTAGCCTAATTATTATTTTAATTATATCATTGATAGTAAGATAATTGAAGTGAATGCTTATAATAGCAATTATTGACGCTAACATCAATGTTTTCAACTTAAAAGAATTTCTCGAATTTCTAAAATGTTTAAATTTTATTTCTTTTGCTGAAAGTTATTCATTGACTTTCTTTTTTTTGCGTGGAAGATGAGAAGAGGAAGAAGAGAAGATTTACTTGGATGCTTTTGAAGGGAACAGCCGGCTTAAAATATTTAAAGCGTAGGGAAGGAGAATGAGAATGCACTTTTTAATGAAGTTTGAGTACATGCACAGAGGCAGAAAACGGCACAAATTTGAATATGTAGATGAAGAAGGACCAGTGATGATGCAGGGCGCAATGGCTATCCTTTCACAAGCTATCCTTTTTAACACGCTTCTTTATTCCTTTGCTAAATTTCAACAATTTTGGGTAAGAATAATGAAATTTCCATATTATTACTCCTCTGCAGTATCAACAGATGTCAATAAATTTCGCTAATTGAAGTTGGAATTCGTTTAAATAATGATCGCTTTTGCATTCGAACTTATCAGAGAGGATAGAGTGTGATGTGCTCGAAATCTGAGCGAGTTATCTGTCAAAAACTTCCATCAGTCTTCCGATTTGCCTAATCCTAAACAGTTTGAACTGATCTGTTTAAGTGCAAAGTAATATCTTCCATTTCTTCTAATTTAATGATATTTTGACCGTTTGAAGAAAATTTCAATAAATTTATTACACCTTTTCTCGTAATTCAAGAAGTTCCAAGTCATCCAAAATTTAATCTTACCATGGTGACAAGTTAGTTGCACACATCTTTTTCATTTTTTTAGCAATCGATTTAGAATTTGATGTTTGACAGATATAATGAAATAGGCAAACCAATTATTGTAATGTCATTGGTGGTGGTGTGAACACACAGGTAGGACTGGCCTTCAGCAGTTCCTGCAGCCGATCACGGACAGTTTCGGGATACCTGTCGAATGCATTGCTTACCGTTTCTTACTTTTCTATATAAATTTTACATTTTTTTACTACCCTATTAATTTGTGTTCGTTTAAATCGTTGTTGTGGTTAATAAAGTGATATGTGTTCACTGTGTGATGAGATAATGGGCGCAGAAGGGAAAGGGAGGAGTTGCTAGATTGAAATTGATGTACTCAATGCCTTGGTCGGGAACCTTCAGCAGAGATTAGTTATATTATTACCACTTCCTGTATACGGTAACGTTCTAAATTCATACCATTCTATAAATATTAATTATAAAAATTTTATAAATTATAAATATAAGCATTCTAAGCTTCCATTTAATTGAGGATGCATTTTTACTAGAAAGCTGTTTTTGTTTTTTGCTTTGCTATTTTTAATAAACATCATGTCTTGTATCATCATTTAAGATTTTTTCTCAAAGAATTGGAAATCTTGTTAGACCAATGAAAGCATTAGAATAGGTAAGTGAGGTATAGAAGCATTAATGATAATTCAGAATAATTGTGAGTTTACTATTCGATGCTAGTGAATTTATCTTACTACAGGAATCAATTTTCACTTTTAATTCGTTTTAGATTGGTACCATACAATTATTTTCTATTCTATAAATAATTTCAGCTTCAGTTTTGCTAAAAATGAAGTGTATGAAGAGAAGTGTAGGAAGGGTATTTGATGGGTTCTCGGTAAGTTTTATAATGATCAAAAAATTTCTCATTAAGACGGTAATATGCCTATGTTGAAGGAGTTTTTATTTCCCTATGAAAGCATCTGTTGCCTGTCTCTTCACCACTCATCGCTAATTTATTTTTGCATTTCTGTAATGTAATGCAGGGAAACTTCTTCAATTCATCCATCTCTCTTGAAACACGAATCAAATTTTTCATGCACCAACACATTTTCTTTCCTCTCCTGTGAATTAATTTAAATTTATTTGTTAGTTGAAATCTTGCATGTTACTTTGAAGCGTTAATTATCTTACTGCAGAATAGTGGCACTTTACATTTGAATTTATTAATACTTTCTTCAGCATAATATCGCTTGTTCAACATATATAAAATGTTTGTTCTAAGATTGATATGATGCTATACAGAAAAGATTCGTTGAATAGCAAACCTCATAAGTTTAATCTAAGTTTAGGAGAAATTGTTTAAGTAATATATACATTAAAAGTAATAGGCGATTTGTTATCAACTTTTCCTATTTTATTTAAAATACCGTGTTTTTTTAAGCTTCAATCTCAATAATATAAGCATCAGAAAAAGCTAATTTCCAGAACCGATGAAACAAATATTTGAATGAATACATTTAATAGTCCGCAGTTAAATTAAAAAATGAATGTGAAAAAGCACAATTTCGAACAATTTTACATCGCTTGGGTTTGCAACAATCTCGAGCACGCAGCTGCACTGAAACTCCGGGTGGGTCATGTTTTGTATGCTTCATTTTTGCTCAACGCTGTTCATCATTCATCCAAATTCGCTAACCTATCTTAATAAACTTTTAAAGTAAAGCAAGTAAATGAAGCACAAAAGTATAACTCATGGAAAAAATTCATCATTAAATTTTGTAAATAATTAAAGTGATAAAGTGCAATACATTCAGAAAATATACGCATATTTATTTGACAGTGAAAGAATGAAGTAAAAGGTGCTTTTTTCCAAATGCACTCAATTTGAAAATTATTTATGGTCATGTATATGCATATGTCGTACATAGGCTTCAAGGCTTCATATTCAGTAAAACTCTCTTCCGCATTACATTTCCAAAATATTCCCTTCTCTTTTTTTTTTTTTCTCTCTCTCTGTCTTTCCATTTTGCATTATTCTCACCAAAAAAATTTTGCATAAAATTACAGTGCGTTGCGAAAATTTTCCAGAGTGATTGCCTCAGAGAATAAGTTTCTTCGAAGTCTGTTCAAAAATCCAATATCAGATGAATGTTTTAATATGTCGAGCAGGAAGAAGTAAGTTAACTTTTAATCTAATTTTACTAGCAAGGACTAAAGAATAGCAGTAACGTGAAATTAAAGAGTAAGGCAAAGGAAAAGGAAAATTGGTCCATTGCAGTAGTATCAGTGGCCATCTTGATATATGTGGATTGTATCGCTGATCATCAGTTCATCTTTCAACCAGTCAATCAGTCTTGATGTACTACGAGAGCTGAAAAAGATTTCTTTTCAGGATTCTGTCCTTAAATACGAATTGGTTCCCAAGAATAGTTTTCCCACTTCTTCCATTTAAATTGGAGTTAAAATCGTGCTCCAAAATATGATTGTAAGTTCAGTGGAATATATTGTGAAGTTTGTGTTTGCATCGTTATCATATACAGAGCCGAGAGATTGCTATCTCACTCTAAGCTCTAAGCACCATTATTTTTTGAAACTGATCTAACCAGACCTACCAAGGTAATCATTCGAGGAGACTCACAATGTGATACCTCTTACCTCTCCCTTTCTCTCCTCTATCCTTTTTATTCGTCAAAAACTTTGATGTTCACTGAAAAGACACTACGCGATCCATTTAATATTATTCCTGCTTTCATCTGCTTTTGCATAACCTATCGAGGTACCTACAATCGCGGATAAGCATGAAAGATATAAAGTGTAATTCTACCACTTTCCTTATAGAAATTCTTAGAAGAAAAGAATTCATTCAGTAAAGAAAAGAGTTCAAGAAAATTAGACACTGACCCCGTGAATTGCTTTGCAGGAGGTTCCATTACTTCATAGGAATTCTTAGAAGAAAAAAACTCATTTTACTGAATCAAATTCAACCGTCACTCTTGAAGTGCCTTTTATCGATCAGTGTATTGTCGGTCTCGACATTCGTAAAATTGCATGTTAGCTAATATGTCCGGAATAAAATTATTCTTACTCAGACAAAATTATTCCAACTTCCAACGCTAAAAAGCTGGTGTCTTTTTCTTATTGAAATTTTTTTTCTTTGAAAGCAAAATTTTGAAAATTTGAACATCTATTGTCAAGATAACAATTTTTGATCGAACTGATCCTTTAGTATTTCTTAATTACCGTGAAGCTGAAAATTTATAAGCATTTGTTTGAATTGCTTGATGTAAATCTTGTTAATGAAATGTTATAGAACCCCAACCACATTGATAAAATGAAATGTGAAGAACACTTCCTTGTCATTTGTCCTGATATTGATGATTCACTCAGCCTTCTTTCTGATACCAAGTCACACTCACTCTCATCTCTTTCCATTCCTTTAGTCTTCTCTAATAAACCTATTCTTTTAATACTTTGTTATCAGTTATGAGAAGACCACTTTATCTTTTACAGTTTTAGACTTTTCATAAAACATTTCATTAGCAGAAAATTTGGTTATATCAATTAAGTTGAATGTGATCTGTGAACTCTTAACAGCAGCCGTAACAGCCACTTCTCAGCGATGGGAAAAATAATTTTTTATTCGATTGCTGATGGAAAAGTAAACAAAGTAATTGATACATATCGCTTTTAATTGACTTGCTGACGAATCTTTCCCTTTTTACATAACCGTCTGCGCATGCATACCGACCATTCGCGATCACCAGATTGTTTCGCAGGCAAAAAAAAGTATGTTAAATAACACCGACATGCCGTGATGCCAAAAAATAAACCAATCAGTATGGCACTATGTTCTTTAGTAATATCCTTTTTATGAAGGATTCATTTGGTGCTTTTGTACTGGTAATTAGTAAGATTAGCAGTTGAGTCAAATTCTTACGTGAAAGTATTGTGCGTCATCCTTTGTTCACTAACTTCTCCAAGAAATACTCTAGCAGTGGTTAAATTTGCTGAATTCACTTAGTGAATGGTGAGCTTATATCAGTTTGGAAGTTTATCATTGTAGAACACATTGAAATCCTTTCACACACACACACACACACACACACACACACACACACATACACACACACACACACATACACATACACACACACACACACACACACACACACACACAGTTCCCTTTCACATTCCTAATTTTCATTGGAAACATCTGAAACTTTGGACAAGATAATATATTCCGTGTTAACATCTTATGCTTTTGACCTTCTGTTTATATCAGTATGGGAGAGGACGGAAATAATTTGATGATTATGAGTTTTATTAAACAGAATTTTTGCTAAATAAAATTAAGCGAAAAAAAGCTAAATTAAAAGAGGGTAGGAGTTAAGATAGCTAGTTGAATATGCTATCAAGCAATACTCAATCAATCATTCTCCAAGCAAACTATAGAGGTGATTTTATGGATCAAAAATTATCTTAATGAGAATGTTTTCGTGTAATTTGAAAGTTTTCAATGCTGACAAAGATATTAGCTGGCGTTAAATTTCATTGCCGAGATCGTTCTAAGCCAATTAATGATTACTTTTTGTATGGTCGATTCATGATTTTGTATATTTTCTCAAGTTCAAATGATTTCTTCGTTATTCTGAATTGAAATGGTAAGGTTTAAGACTATATTAATCATACATCTAATTATTTTTTTCATTAGCAATACGTACCGCTTTTCTTTTCATCAGAAGGCGATCCGCTTTTTTTTCTCACTCCCTATCACCTCCACCAGCATCCTCCTCTATTATCCACACATCTAATTATTTGCAGTATTTGAAGATGTAATATAAATAAAGGATTAAATAAATATATGTAAAGTTCTTGAATAGATTTTGCTAATGTTCGTTCCGCTCTCAAAATTAAAAAGTATTTGCAATTTTATTGTCTCTTCCACAGCATCCTTCAAAAAAATTATGTTTTTGACTCTCGCCCAGTTATTTATTCATGTATAAATTTGTCATAAATTTGATAATTCACAAATTAGCAATCGCACAATTATCATTCATTTCTTCTGTCGAAATAATGTCGAAGCTAAATTATATTTACCATATAGTAGTAGTGATTGCAGACTTCAATAAAGGCAATGTATTTTTATTTTCTATGGCCTAAAATCTTAAATAGCGTTTTTGGCAACTTTTGATTCTAACAGGAAAGTATTACTTGGGTTGATGCAAATGATAAGGCAATATCTTACTACATTCAAAGTAAAAATTTACTACCTTCAAGGTAGAGAAAATAATAACTGTTTTTAATCTTTCATACAAATTTTCGACTTTTCAAAAATTACAAAAATGTAGTCAAGGGTGAGTTCATCCTGAAATATTCAGTAAGTGTTAAAATCAATGCAAGAATATTTCTTTCACATTATTCACATGAAGTGAATGCTAATATATATATATATATATATATATATATATATATATATATATATTGTAAAATTCAAAGGTTGAACTTTGCTGAAGAGCAGTGATGAAGGAAGCTAGTGCAGGTTGGAGAAGTGAGAGGAAGAGAAAGACAGAGATAGCGAGAAAGAGGAAGAGAGAAAGAGAGAGAGAGAGAGAGATTTTGTTATAAAAAAACAACTCTGCTTGATGGAATTTCATTAATTTGCTATTGTCAGCATATTTCAACAATTCGTTTTCTACCATTATGGTACCAGAATTGCACTCGTTATTCTTCCTAACAAATTTGTTCAAGTACAAAAAAATTTATTATTTTATATTTGTATATTTCATTTCATGTGCATTATTTATTGTAATAATACCTCATGAACTTGCTTAATGAACAGTGATTTCCTTTGATATATTAATAAACAAAGTGGTATAAAGCATCCGTCAATAGCATACAGAGGCGTAAGTGGTAGTGTGGTAGAGGTAAGGAAACTTGTCTCTACGTTTTAAAAAAGTATTAATTTATGACAGAATGAAGAACTGTAAATTCTTTGAATTTTACTTTGTTTATTTTTTATTACATCGTATGTTCGTTATAATTTCGCAAACTATTGCTTTTTTAACTTTGTTAGAGCGTCATTTTTAGTGGTTTTCATGGTCGTATTGAATCTAATAAGGTTGGTATTCTGGGGTTTTTCAGGCTATTTTTGATAGTTTAAAATTGTTAAGGAAGGAATAATTTTTTTTTTTAAAGTTCTCTTCTTGGCTATCTTTTTTGTTGATGACTATTTGTGGTTTGTTTTAATGGTTGAATATTTTTAATGAATTTCGATATATGAGTATTTAAAAAATATTTGTGAGTTTTTTTATTTTTTATCTCAGAAATGATACTAACTGGAATGGATAAAATTCTGAGCCTTATGTTCAGTAATACTGAAAATCTGAATTGTGAGTGGCTGTACGGAACAAAACAACTTTTGTTATGGATTTCGACGTATTAGTGGGACATGTCAGCTATTTTCACGATCCATCGATCTTCAATGCGATCAAATTTAGCATGGCGAGGACATTCCACTTTTAAGCAGTTGACATCAAAGTATGGATTTGAATACGGTCGTCTACTCCAGTCGTCTGTTCAGGAAATAAAGAACTTAGAGGAACATTCTATTCAGCCATTTGATGATTTATTCAACAGAATTTTCGTATAGTTTCGCATTTCGCTGGATTTCCTTCGAGCTTCCAAACTTAAGTATACACTTCGCCGCGATATTTTGCTTTCTTCAATTGGGACGGCTGTTTGGTGCAAAACACCCGGGATATTTGTATGCTTGTGTGTCTCCATGATATAAGTGTGTATGTGTGTGTGCACAAGTGCCGAAAGCATTCCGCAAAAGAGCTGTATAGCAAGGGTTCTCCACGAACAAAAAAAAAAAAGTCCCGAGCTACTTTTTTTAATTCCAGAAAGTTATAAAAAGCTTCGCCAAATCTAAGAATTTTCATTTATTTGTTCAATCCATTTCGTTTATTTCGCCCATCATCCATCCATCCATCCATCCTTCCATCCGTCTGTCCATCCGTCTGTCCGTCCGTCCGTCCGTCCGTCCGACCGTCCATCTTTCTATCTATTCATTCAGCTATGTATATAGCTGCTAGCTATATGCAGATCTA